GTTTATTTTTGCCTAATTTGGTTTAAATAATATTTCAGGATATTTAGTATTTAAATATTATATATAATTAATATTTTAGGTATATAATTTATATTTTAAAAATTTTAAATACCCATTTGGTTCTCGGTTCGGTTTCTATTTTTCGGTTCCAGAAAATATATGATATGATCGATTATTTATGAAATTTGGTTTAATTTTTGTTTTTTTTTTCAGTTTGATACGGTTCGATTCACCTGAAAAAATGTATAACATATACATTATCTTATATAAAAGTTCATTTAGAAGAATTTGTTTTATTTCAAAAATAAACCCGCGCTTTTTAAGCGCGGGTCAAAATCTAGTATAAATTAAAATAAATCAAAATTTATCAACCAGTATGTAAATATTTATATCAATGCATGAAAATATAATGATATCTAATAAAATTCACTTATTCATCATATATATAAGTTATTGAATTGCTTAATTAACAGAAGCGAATTTTGACAGTTATTATGATCTTATAATTTTATAAATATTTATTTCTTTGCATGAGCACTGTTTTATATGTTTGGAGATTTTTTTTTTTTTTGGTTCAAAAGGAGAACTTAAGACAATTTTGAATCGATAATAGTGAAGCGCGTAACGTAAACATGCAAACGAGAAGAGCGTGGTGATTTTAAGAGATTCCTTAAAAAAACAAGAATCTTGAGAGTCTCAAGTTGAGATGATAAAGCTTTTGGATCTTTAATTCAGTGGAAGCTTATGGGTCACCACTCAAATGTTAGAGCCCCACGAGTTAGGAAAAAGCTTGGTCACACATTTTCAATGTAAACACAATTTGTCTTTTTCCTAGTGATTATTCAAACTTGGGGTTTTAAATTTGTCCAAAAGTTAAAATCATTAACAAATAAAATAAATGAAAATAAAATATCTTCGAAGAGAAAATTTTATAAACAGGCAAACATAAGGATCGAAAATATCAGAATATTTTGCTGGGTTTGGATTCACCCCCTTACAAAAGATCCTGAAAACTATATTCCTTGTTTCCTGATTAAAAAAGATTCAGTGAATGAATCTTATTTACTACCTCCCTATATAAACCCGCTCTCTCAAAAGATTCTTATTTTATTATATATCTTTCCTATTTGATTATAGTAATAAAAGATACTATCTGACTGTTTAATTTTGTTTTTACCACCAATATATTCAAAAGTTTGCAAATGTGTGATTGTATTAAACGAGAACCACGGTTGGTGAGACTTTATATGGTAACGTTACCAGGAGGTCTGGGACATCAGGTATAAGACAGGTCAATAGTTTTTTGTTTTTCTATAAAAGATACTGCATGTAGAGTATCTTACATAACTCGGAATCAACTAGAATCTCCGGATTATTCGCATTTCCAATAATAGGCCGATATTTTCGTATTCTCCGTTTTTACCCAAATCATTTTGTTTTCCTTATAGTCAATCACACACCAACCCCCTTCTCTCCACTCCCTATATATACGCTTGCAGGAATCTCCTTAGTGTTATACCAAAAAAAAAACGTTTATTATTCTTTTCAGATTCCTAGAAAAAATGTCAGCTCTTGCAGATTTAATCAATCTCGATCTCTCCGATTCCACTGAGAAGATCATTGCCGAGTACATATGGTCCGTACAATTCTCCATCGATCTGTCAAATAATATATTCTTTGCTTATGTGCTTGAGTTAGTGTTTGTGACTATAGTTCTCATCCTTGAGGATTTTTTATGACTCAAAACTTAAAAAATTTTCTTGATATACTAAAAGTTGAAAAATATATGGACTGATTGATTAATATTTTCGTGATTTTATGAATAGGATCGGTGGATCAGGCTTGGATATGAGAAGCAAAGCAAGGGTGATTCGTTTATTTTGATTTTTTCCCTTTTTTGGGTGTAGCATAACGTTGAATTAATCGTTAAAATACTAAATGATTAATAATAATATTGCAGACTTTGCCGGGACCAGTGAATGATCCATCGGAGTTACCGAAATGGAACTATGACGGTTCAAGCACCGGCCAAGCTTCCGGCGAAGACAGTGAAGTCATCATCTAGTATGTCCCAAAATATAATTAAACCAACCAATAAGTTAAGTAAATTTGTAATTCGTGGATTAATAACTTTGTGTGTTTTCTATGTGTTTTTCCAGCCCTCAAGCGATCTTTAAAGACCCCTTCAGAAGAGGCAACAACATCCTTGTAATAACTCAAACAAACAAACTAGAACAATACTCTTAAACTTTGTTACATGTTCATTTATTTTTGTTCCTGTGATTGATTTGGAATCAGGTGATGTGTGACGCATACACACCAGCTGGTGAACCGATCCCAACGAACAAAAGGCATGCGGCTGCCAAGATCTTCAGCGACCCAACCGTTGCCGCCGAAGAAACATGGTAAACATCTCCATGGTTAATTGTTTTGTGACTTTGTCTAAGTTGACTTCAATTATTGTTTGAAAATTCAGTTACAAAAAAAAAATTATTGTTTGAAAATTATAAGTCCGCATAGTTTTTTTTTTGTCAACATCATCATGAGTATTTAATTCCTGGATGGTAACGTAACGAGAAGTAACATGTCCTACTCAATTTTGGCATAGTTGATATATATTTTCTTATAACCTATAAAATGTTTGTCATTTAGTAAGAGTTTAAGAGTTTCAAATCATTTATATAAAACTTTGATTATATACACAATTGTTACTCTAAGAAATTAAATTCAGGGTGTTGACATGCTAAATTTTTATTTAATTTATAAATTAATTAAATGCTTTCAAAAATATTAAAATTCAGGTATGGAATTGAGCAAGAGTATACTTTGCTACAAAAGGATACCAAGTGGCCGGTTGGCTGGCCCGTCGGTGGCTTCCCAGGTCCTCAGGTAAATATTTTTCCCGGCAAATCTTTTTACTTCGTCTGTGCTAAATAATAATTAAAAAAAAAATAATGATTTATTGATTAAAAAAAGGGACCATACTACTGTGGAGTTGGAGCAGACAAAGCCTTTGGAAGAGACATCGTTGATGCTCATTACAAAGCATGTCTTTACGCTGGAATCAATGTCAGTGGCACTAACGGAGAAGTCATGCCCGGACAGGTTTAATATAGTCCATTTTGTTCTTCTTATGCAATATCATATAGACCGTAAAACTGATATTGTGTGGATTTTAGTGGGAGTTCCAAGTCGGTCCAACAGTTGGAATCGCTGCCGCTGATCAGGTCTGGGTCGCTCGTTACATCCTAGAGGTATATATAAACACATTCATCGCAATATATATACACACTTTCACATATACTCTGTTTTTTTACTCTGTTTCTTGGGTATGTTAAAATAGAGGATCACAGAGTTGGCTGGAGTTGTTTTGTCTCTTGACCCTAAACCAATTCCGGTTAGTTTTTACCATAATTTTCAATTATTTAACCCAAAAAAAATCCTTTGCTTCTTTCTTTTTTATTCAATTATTTGTTTGATTTTTTTCTATTCTAGGGAGATTGGAATGGTGCAGGAGCACACACAAATTACAGTACGAAGACGATGAGAGAAGATGGAGGGTACGAGGTGATAAAGAAAGCGATAGAGAAGCTTGGACTGCGTCACAAGGAACACATTGCTGCTTATGGTGAAGGCAACGAGCGTCGTCTCACTGGAAAACACGAGACTGCCGATATCAACACTTTCTTATGGGTAAGAATTTTCTTCAAAATGTATAACATTCATAATGAACTCCACGCTTACATTATGTCAAAGTTTATTAGTATATTGTATATCACATGATCTAACTTAACCGGTTGGTATAGGGTGTTGCAAACCGTGGGGCATCGATAAGGGTTGGTCGTGACACTGAGAAAGATGGAAAAGGATACTTTGAAGATCGTAGGCCAGCGTCAAACATGGATCCCTACACTGTAACCTCCATGGTTGCTGAAACCACAATCCTCTGGAAACCTTGAGTTCCAAGGAATTATATCAGTTCATCTTCATTCTTGTACTGTCTTTTTATTTTTCTCATTATGAAACAGTTCTCATGTGTTCTTTGTTTAAGAAAACTCATTCCAAAAAATAATGATAGTTATTTTCTCCATCTTCTACTTTGTTTATTTCAGAATCTCTATGTTTTTACAAATCCCAAGTCTAGTCAAGTTTTAGACTTAGACCAAACTTAATTTAACAGTTTATAAAAGAGATCAGAGTTGAGATCCTTCATGTATATATTATTCATCATTCTTAACTACATAAACACACAAATGCATGCATACAAAGATCCAAAAGTATAATCCAAAACAGACATTGATTCAAGACGATTCTTCCGGTTCTCTGCTTATTCACAACAAGCTCAGTAGATAAACATCTATATAAAACTTTCCACTAACAACACGCTTTAACCAAAACTCTTTAGACTGAGACATTTGTAACAAAAGAAAAAACCGAAAAGAGAATGATCCTCTCCTTAGCTAGATGATTCGATGTTAACCTGACGACTGAAAGTGTTACCTCCCATAACTGAAAGCGATTGCTTCACCAGCCTCAGGCTTCCTCTTGCTCCCAACCACACAGCATAGAAGAACCCAATCCAACCTGATCCATACCAAACACATTACACTTCATCAATACATTTCAAGAATCCAAAAAAAAAAAACAGAACCAGAGCAGAGTATATAACCTGAAGCAATCAAGACGCAAACAACGGCTGAAACTGTAACAGTAGAGACGACAAAAGCAGCAACGCATAAGGCTCCTATATAAATACCAGCCAAGGAGATAAAGAAGAGAGCCAAGAAGCCACCAGCAGCAGCAAGCGAAACCAAAAGAGAGATTATAATTGCATTGAATGTCGCAGCTATAAAGAAGAGCATGAACACAACCAAAGCCATCGTTGTAACAAGAACTATTGTTCCCATCTGTAACAAAACAATATTACTTTATTTAACTCAAATGGGTTCAATAAAGTTCCAAACTTTTCATCAAAAAGGCCACTTACAGTGATGACAAGGAGTGCACGAAGGTAACTGCCTTGACGAGTCCATTGGAGAATCTCCTTAGAAGTTTTCTTAGAAGCTTCTCGAAGTTTCGGCCCATTTTCAGCGACAGAGTATCTTATTCGCTGAAGCAGAGGAGACGAGGTATACCCGGTTTTGGAATCCGGAAACAGAATCGAACCGATCGTGATGCAAACCAAGGAGTAGAGACTCTCCGACTCATCCTCCTGAATCTTCACATAGTCCGTTTTGCGGTCACCGTTCATCGTCCTTTCGTTGACGGTTTCTCCGACATCATCGTCATTGGAACCGACAGCGTTTGCGTATGATTTCTTCTCTGTCTCGTCGTGATCTTGCGACATTTTCTCCGACTTGGTTAGAAACTAATCAGTTGTTTCGATCTGATTTAGGATTTGAACTTAAAGGGAAAATTAAATAAAATAAAGGTGGGATTTTAAACAGATAATGACGGACAAAACATGGGAACAGCTGTTCAAGTTTTGTGTCTGAAGAAGTCGGCCATGTGTAGTGCCGACATGGCATTAAACCCGTAATAACCGTACTAGATTGATATTATCAAGTAGCGTCTACTCAACGCGCTACACGTGCAAGCGGCTCACTCGCTTTGTTATTATCTGGGCTTCAAAGGCTTCACTTAAGGCCCATTCAGTTTAAAAATAAGTTGTGTTTTAAATATCGTATTTAAAACAAAACAATTTTTTAAGAATGATTTTTAAATATACTGTGACTGGTTAAACGTTCAAAAAGTCGGTCTCAGTATTAAATACCCAATTAAACAATTTTTCTATAAGGCATCTAACCACCACTTACATGTTTTTGAAAATTGAAATTAACCAAACTTAAATCAAATCAGAGATATAATTTCTCACATTTGCTTTAGATGAGAGTCATGAGACCATAAGCTTGTACGGCTTCGGTTAAGGCCCGTTAAATTTGATTATCCGGCCTAAAGGGAGGCCCAATGGTGCTTAAGTTAGAGACCGTGGTTTACTTTGGCGGTTTGATTGGTATTGTGGCAAACATTCATGTCAACCGACGAATTAAACCAAACTTTCAGTTTGCGAATTTATGTTTAAGAGTTTACAAAGATTGAAACCGGAGAATCAATCAAGAACTAGAGGAAAAATGATACGCAGTAAATATTATCATGATCGAAACTAACAAAATAGGTTTCATCAGTCAAAGGTTTACATTATTGAAAATCTCATAAAAACATGCTTATAATAATTTAGATAAAAGGAGTAAACAAAACATGATGATAAATCCCTGATACATTCATTGGTTCAACTTTAACCGCTTGAATTAACCGAACTCCAGAGCTGGACCCACTTAACCATAGCATCAGCTGCTTGAGTGAAAGCAGGATCATCCGAACCCAACTGCTCTTTCACCGCTTTAGCAAGCTCAACCACACAATCTGCAACAGTAACTGCACTCTCAGGCAACTTCAAGGAGTCAAAGAAAGGAACACTCTTCTCCATCAGCTTCATCCCTTCCCACTTCTTCCTCAAACTCTCCACCGCATCTCCTCTCTCGTTCCTCCACACATAAGGCAGTCCTGTCTTCACACCATACCCCAAATGATCAGAGATATGTTTCAAACACATCCCACACCAAACATCTTCAAGTGTCTCCCATCTCACTCTCCCTTCACCAGCGATTCTAAGCGCAGGCACCAAAGCTGGACCAATCAACTCACGGTTAAACGCAATGTTAATCCCACTTACAGGCAGCATAGCCTTCAAAGGGACAGTCATAACCGCATCAACGTAAGAAGTGTTCCTCTGCTCTGTCTTGAGAGCTTGTGTTGGAGCATCAAGATCAGCTAAGTTAAGCCAGAGTCCACAAGAGGCAGCACAAGGGACACCACTTCTAAGACTAAAAGGGTATCCACGCACAAAGTCAGCTCCCTCGCGGTAAGGATCGTAGAGAGTATTGAAGAAGAGAGGCGTGGCAGGGTTTTCAAGATTGCTCACGTGCTGAGAGACAGCATCCACTAGGAAACCTTTGGGGTCTTTAGCAGGGACACAGTCATCATCGATGGAGACAATGTACTTCTTTTTGGACACGAGGTAGCCGAAGTATCTGCAGGAATAGCCTGAGAACATGGTGGAGTTGGATGCGCCAACGACTTTTTCAATGTCGGTCTTTGAGTAGATGTCGACATCGAAGCCCTGTGGGATGTTGAGTTCTTCTTTGAGGTCAGGATCTTTGACGATGATGAGATGGAATCCGGAGAAAAAGGGTCTCCAGGTGTTCAAGAAGGGTATGAGGTCAGCGTTGAGAGCTCCAATGACAATGTCAACCTCGTTCTTGTTTATCTCATCCAACGACATGTTTGATCTTCAAAAGCTTTCTTCTGCAGACACATCAAAACTTGAACTTTGTTAGAAAAAACCACAAATAGCATCAAAAAAGTTAAAATATATCCATAAGCAAAACTACAAAACAGAAGTACTGTATGAAGGTGATTTGTACAAATTATTACAAGACCAAGTTAAGGGCAAAAAATTAGCTTTTTAAATCACATCACTCATTTGAACAAAAAAAAAACAAAAAAATCAACTCTTTTTTTTTTTGAAACTCAAATCACAGAGACAATATAAACTCAAATCACAGAGACAGAAGCTAATCTAAACAGACAATCAACATAGCCAAAAAACCTATACAAGATTGAATGAGAACAACAAGTGGAACATCATAATTGAAAACCGATTAAAACTACTGAATCATTTAGTTTATACCACACAGAGCAGCAACAAAAAAAAAGCTCACATTTGTTCAAAATCAAACAGAGCAATACGCGCAAGTTTTTTTAATAAATAGAAGAGACGTAAAAGAAGAAGGATGGACCTCTGAATCAAGTTTTGGAGAGAATGCAGCAGATCCCACGTTTCTTCTCCTTCTTTTCTTTCAGAGGGATACACAGGAATCAGTGGAGAGGGTATGGAATTTGATTTATCACGTTTCTGTTGAATTGGTCCAACAACGTCTCGCGCATTTGCTGCTGCTTTCTCCCGCAGTTTCCTCTTCGATCGTGCTTTATGGTGCGTCAAAGTGTCAAAAGGTTCTAATCAATGATAAATTCAAAACCGAATCTAACCGATTGGGCTGTTGTTGGTTGTTAGTTTTATGATTTTATCTGAATTCTGGGTTTGGGCTGAACCGGGGTGGAAGTAAATCTAGTACTATTGGCTTGTGTCAATTCATATTGAGGTGATTTGATTTTTATTTTAATTCAGTTTTTAAATAATTTAATATAGTTTTTGTTAAACCACTCTAAAATCAAAAATTATGAGATTCCTATTTTTTAACTAAGTAACACCACTTAACACTAAAATATACAATTTAGAATGTATTAAAAAATTTCATAGTTTAAATATCAATAAATTTGTCATTTTAGAGATCAATTCAAATCTTTAGTTAAATACACTCCATAGTTTTTATAGCTTTTCTTTTATCAGTTTGAATGATCCTCTTAACGTCTCAGGTTAGATGATGCATGCATAGTCTTAGATAGACTACAGAAGCTCCCATAGGACCCATACTCAACCATATGACTGCTCTTTAATTTTACTTACAATTAAGCAAAAACCTGTTTATCCAAAGAATCCACAGAGGTTCAGATTCTTATGACCATCCAAGATGACTTGTATCTTGTCTTCAGAAAAGTTGAATTAGGACATTTGTACCTTGGATCCCGCGCCAACAAGCTTATTGAGCATAAGTGCATTTTGAAGAAAAGGTGGTCATTAGTTTCTTTTTTTATGCACATCATCAGGAACCTGATCTGTTAGCAAAAGAAAATATGAAACGAGTATATCAAGAATCCTTTATATATTAATCCTGAAGCATTCATAAATGCACAACCTTGAAGAGTATGTTTACGTGTCAAGTTCACAGAGCTTCTCAGCTTTAATTTTTTAATAGACCAACTTTGCTAGGAATGAAATAATGTAACATTTAATTTCTTACATTTAGGACTATAATATATATAAATTTTTAAGGGACCAACTCTGCTAGGTATAAAACAATATATTTTATTTCCTTAAATAAAAGCTACAGAATTACCTAATATGATTAACATATATATGTAATTAGTGATTATGAATAATACATATTTTTGTATCCTCTCTTTTTTTTGTTTAATTTTAAATTATTAAAATAAATTAAACAATCACATTTAAATATATAATAAAAAAGAAAAAAAAATTCTTATAGGTTATATTTTTAAATTTTTTAAACGACAATAAATAACTAAAATTAGTAAAACCCCACATTGAAAATTTTATGATCAATGGCTTAACTTTGTTTTTTTCTAAAGAAGATACAAATTATCATAAATCGTACGAATATGAAGTATCATTAGTAGATATTCATACTATAAATATGTTAATTTCAAAATTTCAGTGAAAAGGTTTGAGGTTAGTAGATACAAATTATAGTATACGAAAAATTTTTGTAGTTTGTTTTATTTGCTTCTTTTTTTAATATCTTTTAGTTTGTTTAGATAATTTAACTAATTTTAAATTAGATTTATTAATAGTTTAAATATTTTGATTTTTTGTCAACTTTTAATGTTTAACAAATATTTTTTGGGATGATTTCAGATATTGGTTACAATCCAATCCAAACTGAATTGAGAAGATTAAATCGAATCCAGTCCGATAATTAGTAAAATTCAAATAGGATTTATGATAATAATACCAAAATCTGAAAATACGTGTCAATCAAACTAAAACCGACGAAGTCTCAAACGTCTAGACCTATTATATGTTTTGTACACGAATCTAGACATAATTTTGATTCATACGGGGAATATCTATGATATAATGTATGATATGATGTATATATATATTTTTTTGATGTATATATATATAGATTTTGTTATTATTAGAGAATATATATTGGTGTTATATATTTTGTGAATGTGTACGGTCTCATTAATTTATAAACTAATATGAATATCTTAGTATGTTTATAAACGGTCTCATTACTTTCTACTTTCTACTTCTCTTGAGGTTTAGAGAGGATTTCGATGTGCTTAGATTAATAAGGCAGTGCCCATACAGCATAATCTATCAACACAATGTTGTCCAAGAACAGCAAAAACCTCAAGCCACCAGGCACCAAAGGGTGGTGAATAGAAGCTTGAAATCAGATGGATATTGTTTTTTTCCTCTTTCTAGATAATGATTCTTTACATTTATCATGATAATGATGATTTTCTTTTTGAGTTTAGGGAAGTTGTTAAAAACCTTGAGAAAACAGAGGATTTGGTTGGTCTTTTTTTTATTATACAGCTTAGAGAAAGTTACAGATGGATTCTTAAGAAACTAACAACAGATGTTGCTTTTGTTTTGTTAATTATATTCAATGTCAACAGAAAGCTCAACCATACTAGAAAACTAGAAAGATGTTGTTTTACAAATTGGATGCTTTTGTTTCTCCATCGTCATTGTCGAGGGCTAACCTAAACTTAAGAATCTTGTGGAGCTTGGCAACAGGTTGAACAGTCTTGCCTGGTGTCTTGTTTTCAGCTGCTGCAACTTCTGAAATCCAATGTATTTGAAACAAATGTTCAAAAACTCAAGGGCCACAGACATGTACCAATTGTCTCTAAGTATGATGTTTTAAAAGTTTTAAAAGTTTTGAGGGTGAAAGGTGAACATTACCCTTATCAGAGAAAGCAAGACATGTACCAATTGTCTCTAAGTATTCTCCAACCTTTTGTTGGCAAACAAAACCAAGAAGAAGTAGGTATCAAATCTAAAACCGAATTAAGACGAAGAATGTTTGTAATAGTTGAAAGTTAAAGGACTAACCAGCTTGATTTTACCATCAATGGTCAATATAGGATTCAAAGTATCCAAACCCTGAAGCAATTATTAAAACCAAGACAGAATAACTTATTAGATAATAACATAAATGCCCTACACAAAAGAAGGTAAATTAGAGAATTGGAATGTAACCGAGAGAGTGTAAGGAGCGTCTGGTGGGAAGTCAATGTGCCTCGAAACATCGTCAAGATCCATCAGTACATATTCTTCCTCTTCCTCTTCTTTACTCACCTTCCCCGATTCTTCATTATTCATCTCTCTCAATCTGATAATAATTCCCAAAATTTTAGATTTAAAGAATCTTTGAGGGACTAAACTAAGCTCTAATTCATATATCTTTAGAGCATGATTAACCCTAAGAGCTCAATTTTGGCTCTTAGTTATTTTTTAGTAATTAATAATAGTTAAGAGTTTTTACTTAAGAGACATATCATTTTTCAGCTCCAATGCTAGGTTCTTAATTTGGGGTTCTTTAAAAAAAATTATAAAACTAAAATTTATTTATGAAATAAAACATATTAAAAGAAAACATTTTAAACATTAATTTTCAAAAAGAACATTAAAACAAAGATTATTAAGAAAGGGGGAGAACAAGAATTGTGTTTCTTGAATGAAAGAAGAGAGGAAGAGTTGTGTGTTGTAGAATGATAACAAGACCTTAATTTATAGAAAGAGAACCAAACATACATGAGTACCAATAATGCAAATACAAGGCTCGTGAATACATAAACGAACATACAAGACTAGTGACCTGCAAAGACAGACAAAACTCATGCCTACACAAACATACAAGACTCAGACTCGTGACCTGCAAAGTAGAATTGAATACATGATAGAAACATGAGCAAATAACTTAATGCAATTTAGAATTGAATACATGATGATTATATATGATATATATATCTCCATATGCAAATTGTTTAACAAGATGAATACATGATGATTATACATAACAAGAATGCAGAATCACTCTTATTGTCATTATTTGTTTCACTAGCAAGCAACAAACTAATAAGCGATCAAAGAAACAAAGAACAAAAGGATGCAAATTACTGTCTATTTCTATGTCTAAGTCTAATTCATGTTCATTTCTATTTCTATCAACCTGTACGCAAAACACCAAAAGCTTACCAGATGTTACAGATTATGTGTAGAATGAATCTTCCTGCGGCTCCCTCCTTGATTCAGTAGAACACTCTTCACAACCTGAAAAGAGGCACAACGAAGCATCATTTTCGACACACATGAATGTCCTAAGCACTAACCAATAACCAAAAGCTACCTGAATCTTCCTTCTGTATAACAAAACTAGCAAACTGAAGGAACAAAAACACTTTCTTACTTGCTTTTACTCCTCTTTTTCTTCTTCGTTGAAGCCTCAACTTAAAAGAACAAAATAAACATGCAGTATATCAATCAAACTAAGAACAACAGAGCAATCTATAACCATGAAAGAGATTCGATAGCTAAACTCAAATACACAAAAGTATCTTTAAAGTCTGACCAGTAACTAAATGTAATATCATCCTAGCAGCTTCCCTTAAATACCAATACTTTGAAAACGTAACCGAATCGAACTACAAATGACCCAACCAAACTACAAAACCAGCATCAGATATATCAAAACAGAGACTACTGTCAACCATCAATTACGTTTCATCTCGAACCCAATTTTTTTCTATATTTTCTCGATCTAGCTCAAAATCAACACCTTACACAGGCGAAGAAGAACAAGAGATCTTCTCTGTCGAGACTGATTTTGGCTGAAGAGGCAACGCAAGAGGCAACTCTTCCGTAGGGTCTGCAGACACTCGCCTCTTACCACTTTTTTGTTTTTTTTTTTGTTTTTTTATTAAAATTTGGGCCTAAGAGGCCACTTAAGAACTACCGTTAATGGTGGTCTTATCTCTTCCTTCACACATTCTGACCGCGGTTAGTTTCAAAAGACTATTCTAATTCTCCACTGGAATACAAAAAGAAAAGAAAAAAAAAATACTTATGTTTCGAATGGGCTGCTCACCTGTCACCTTGAATCTGTCCAGCAAAACTATAAGCGAGGATATTACAGAACAAGCTCGCTTCAGATAAAATTGGAGAACAAGTAAGATTCGTGCTATGTCGCCTCTGCGTCTTCTTCTTCGTGTAAAATTGGCCTTTAAAAACCCCATTAGAACAGTTACTACAGTGATAGCATAGCGATAGGCCCATTATAGCCCAATAGCCTACAATATAAAACCGGAAGGGGGTCGAGTAACCGAATACATAAATTTTAGAGATGTTGAACGGAGTCTTTTTGCCGGTCAATAAAAGAAAAAAAAACAACTGATCAAAAATGCAAACGGAAGTCATCCTTATCACCAACAAGAGCAAACACATAATAAGCTCTACCGCATTGATTCTGATTTCTCAAGTCGTAGTTATTACTTCAGATAACTGTAATCTAGTCCATTTTCCATTTGTATTCAATTAGAATAAAGCCAGCACATGTGGATCATGACGCTGCACAAAGCTCAACGAGAACTAGATTCTTTCTCTTCCCTTTTTAATGAAAACAAAACAAAAACGCATCTAAGTAGAGGCCAGATGCTTTCAAAGCTTAAAAAAGAAGAAGCAAAAGCAAGTCCCGGCTTTTTAAGACAAAACACAAGCTAAATGTTTCTGTAAACTTTTCAGACATCGTTTAAAACAAAGTACTAATCTCTGTTTTGTTTTAAAATGAGTCGCAGAAAAAATTCATTCTTCCTCAAATCCTCACAGATTTCAACAACAGAATTGGCTTAAACTAACATGTTTGATCAGATAAACAGAGATGCTACTAAAAGAGCAAAGCTAATAGAAACAGACAGAATAAAATCCAGTACCAAATCCAAACCTAATTGCACTAAATTCAACCAGATAATGAAAACAATAAGCCATTAGTTAAAAACACAAGTTTTATAAGAGATAACATCATCAGAAGATCTCAGTTAATTTCATATAATAGCATCATCGCTATACTCCTCACATCAACAACTTGCATACGACATCATCTTTTTATTACATTAATTTCAACACAAACAATCACACAATCACTTCTTGAGGCTTCCTCTAATCCCAGGTTTAGGTTTAGACGACTCAGCAGGAGCAGAGAGAGACTCGTGGAGATTCCTCGGCTCCTCGTAAGGCAACTTAGGATGCTTCGATTCGTGATGGATCTGCATCGTCTTCAGATCCGGCGCCGTGATCTTGCAGTGTGGACACTCGTACTTCGCGTGTCCTCCTTTCTCCTTACCGGTTCTGTCCGCTAACCCCGCTTTTCCTCCTCCTCTGTTGGTCAACGCTGCGTCGGCTTTCGCCTGGAGCTCCTTCGCCGTGTGCTTCTTCGGCTTCGCCTTTCCCGTCATCGTTGATTGGTGGATACAGAGAGGATCAGAAGAGGGAGGGTAAGGAGATGAGAACCCTAATTTTTCTTTGATTGGAGGAGAAAAGGATTTTGGAGGCGACGAGAGATCGATGCGAGATTATTTATCCTCAAGTATTTTATTTTTTTTTTGAGCAAAAAAGACAATAAAAATTAATAATATTTATCGTTTGTTTTGTCAAAGATCTTTGTCGAGTGCAGTAGGGTCCACATTAAGACTTTTGCTTCTTCCCCTTTGCTCATATTAGATTTTATTACTTACAAAATAAATAAATTTTGTAACAATGATATTTTCGCTGTTTTTACAATACCTTACAAAGATTAAGAATTTTTTTTTCTTTCAAAACAGTAACTTTTAAAATATAATTGTGAAAATCATTCAACCAATTTTAGAAATAACTGCAAAAATCAAATTAACTATACAAATTTCAATAAAATAAAAATAATATAAAATATGAAAATATCATCTATTTTGAAAAACCAAATATTTTCTAAAAGTTTATCTATTCAGATATGGTAGAAATAATAAATTTTTGTTACAAAAGAATAAGAATTTAGATAACACACAGTGGCACTAGATCGTTGATACTATCATGAAGAATTGGTTTGACAGTAGCTATATAAATATTATTGTAGAATTTAATCTATGAAAAAATATTGATTTAGTTCTGTGATACAATAATATTTCTAATTTACTTTTAGTTACCTGTAATAGTATGGTGAGCTACGTTAAAAACAATATTTTTAGATTACATGATATCACTATAACTTGACTAGAAAAAGAAAGTGCTTCTACTATATAACTATACTCTGTGGTAATCATCATATATTTTTTGTTTGTACATACATGTTTCAAATATCGATCATTCACGAAAATAAAGTTGCTGAAAATCCAACTAAAATCCATATCCAAGACGTCTGGATAAACTAATGTACCCATGTGATCTTTTCCTTTATTCGAGCTCATCTCTTCTGGTACATTCAGGTATGATCTCATTGAAGCAACGTACGTGGCACTACTCAAGAACACGAGCCACCACGTTTCACATTCCTCATGCAGATGAAAAAAATTAATATTTTTGTAGACAGCTACGTTTATCTATTTCATGCATGTCATAAAAAGACATTGATTCGAATCGTTCAAGCAAAACATTTTGTGAGAAAACCAAACATATGGAAGAACTAGACATAGACCTCAAGATCCCTGACCCGTTACGAGCCGATTGGTTCATGGTTCTTGTCGACATCCAAGCCGATCTCATCTACAACGCACTCGTGGTCTTAACCTCACCTCTCTTCCTCCTCTACCGCTCATACCGCCGCGCAGCAGCTACCATCTCCGCAGCAGAAAAGACGGTTAAACATGCTCCATCAAGGATCAAGGGTGGTGCCGCGAGAGTTGTTAGGAGGACGTGGTTTGGTGTAATGGGCGCATGCCACGTGTCGGCAATCATGGTGGTGGCGATAATTTTGGCGGTTGTGTTCGGTGTTGGTATTGTGAGTTTGTATGTAGAAAAACCTGTGGTTCTGAGAGAAAGATTGTTTTTTGATTACACTGAAGATACCCCAAGTGCGGTTTTTAGTTTCGACAAGAAGAAGAGACCGTTTGGTGTTCCCCTTGGACATAAGGTTCATGTCTCTTTAGTTCTGTGGATGCCTGAATCTGAGCTCAACCGACGAATTGGATTATTTCAGGTACATGTAAATTATAACTAGTAACTAAGACCAGCTCAGAAAGCAATCCACCAAACGATCGAACAGGACATATATAGTTGTGATACATTTTTTTTTATTTTTTTCATATTAAGAATTTTTTGGATAAAGAATTGCCATTGACAAGTTGTATATGTTCTATGATCTATCGAAGGATATAAAAAATGACTATGAGGGAATCATAATAAAATGTGGTGAACTTGAAACCATCGTATCAACGATTGCATTTTACGACAATTTGAATACTGGAGTTAGAATTTATAAGAATTTTCAATAACAATATTTATAAGAATTTTAGCTTTATTTATGAAACCGTGTATTATTAAATAATAATTATTTTTAAAATATAAAAATTATATTAACTAATTATTTTAGTAAAATCATGATTGACTATAGTGAACATTGGCCAACACTAGAGATACATAATTAACTTTACAAAATTATATTCACCAACTATTTTATAAAATTAAAAAAGTAATGTAACCTATATTATATACATGATATAAGATTGAAACATAAAACATTTATTGTTTAAATTTTGATTAGAGCATTCAAAAATGTTAATTGGTACGGCTAAGTAACCAAATGTTTCTATGAAAACATGCTAACTATTTCTTATACATGGACAGTTGAAGGTAGAGCTTCTATCACTGAAAGGCGAGATAATAGCAAGATCAAGCCAACCTTGCATGTTACGGTTCAGAAGCAAACCCATAAGACTTGCACGAACGTTTGTGATGAGTGTTCCACTTGTTGCTGGTATCGCAAACGAAGCACAAACAATGAGAATAGATGCCTTAACACACCAAGAGAAATGGCCAAGAACAAGAGCCGTGAGAGCGACTCTGATCCCACGTGCACAGACTCGGTTACTACCTCAGTTATATGAAGCTGAGATTGTTATAAACTCGAGACCGCCATGGACCAAACGAATGGCTTATAATTGGAGATGGACTCTTTGCGTCTGGACTTCAATGTATCTTTATGTCCCTATTCTAGTCACCCTTCTATGGTGTTTTAGACCGTTCTTGTTCCCTAACGTTACTTCAAGAATCGTAGTGGAAAGCCAAAACTCAGAGATGGAAGTGGTCGAAGAAGAAGTAGGGGGAAGAACATTGAGGGAAAGAAGAAACAAGCCTCGTCGACGAACTTTCACTACGAGACAAGAAACTTATGTATAGTAATCAAATTCTTCGTTTTTAGTGTGTGTTACTCTGCAGAATCATAACTCTTCTCTGTAATAAACTGGCAATAACAAAAACTAAAGAGTAAAATGGACTAAAACGTTGAGAATGTTAAGACTAGTCTATACTATTATTTGCGAAGTGATTTTTCGCAACGGAGTTCTCATGTTAAAAGTTAGAGTGGTTAATATCGTTTATACCCTTAATGAAAATAATATATAAATCAGCTAAAAATAAAAACGAATTTAATACTTATTTGATTAGATAAATGATTTAAATTAATAATAATGATAAGAATTATCCATAAGCTAAATATATATTTAAAAATAAAATAAAAAAAGATAATTCTTATAGATATTTTGATGTTATCCGGAAAATATATTAAGTCCGCATGTCCGAATTTAAGTGATTTTTCGCAATGAAGCTCCACATTAAAAGTTACACTGGTTAATATCGTTTATACCTTATATGAATAAAATATATAAATTACATACAAAATAAAAACGAATTTAATTATTTTAATTAGATAAGTAACTAAAACTAATAATGATCATAAGAACTATCCAAAATCTAAATAATATGTATTTAAATCAGATAATTCCTATATATATTGTGTTGTTATCTACACATATATTTTAATAAAAAATAGAAAATACATAACTAAATATTAATCAAGTAAACTTCTTAATTTTATATAATTGAAAATATTATTTGATTTTAAGATTTATTTTTAATAGTGAACATAATATACAAAGAAATATATGTAAGAATGTTTAAATGAAAATATGAATATTATTGGTTTAAAAAAACATAAATAATAATTTATTATTATAATTATTTCAATTAGTAAAATATATTAGTAAAATAGTTATAAAATGTTTAGGCCCGCAAGTGCGGGCAAAACACCTAGTTGGTAAAAAAACAAGTAGTAAAGTGTTAGAATTTAGTAATTTCAATTAAAACAATGTAGAAATACGTCTCATACACGTAATCATAAATGAAACAAGTTGAATATAAAACCTTGATTTAGTATAACATAAAAAATAATAAAGATTCAAAATACCTATTTACAGATTAATTAGCGCTTAATTGCCATCAATGCAAATCTAGTTTCCTCTTTTTTGTTTATCTTGAGTACAGAAACTTAGATTTTCTTTTACTTCTAGTAATTATTACATAAAAAAAAGATTCAGAATATCTATTTACAGATTAATTAGCGCTTAATTGCCATCAATGCAAATCTAGTTTCCTCTTTTTTTTGTTTATCTTGAGTACAGAAACTTAGATTTTCTTTTATAAATCTTGTAGTAATTATTACAAAAAAAAAATAAAGATTCAGAATGTCTATTTACAGATTAATTAGCGCTTAATTGCCATCAATGCAAATCTAGTTTCCTTTTTTTTTTTTTATCTTGAGTACAGAAACTTAGATTTTCTTTTAAAAATCTTGAATAACAAATCATTTTCGTATACGTTAGAGATCCTTGTTATATCTTTTTTCCTTTTTACGCGAAACAAGTGAATACTTGTGTATATATAAAGCATCCGCAGCGTTCAGTTTTTCTAAAGCATTGAGAAGATAAAAACATGGTCGACTCAAAATTCGCTATTTTGGCTTTCATAGCTCTGTCTCTTTTCCTTTCCGGTTAGTATTTCATAAACTCCATTTGAGACAAAAAAGGCTTTTTACAAAACCATCTTTATAAAAAACATTTTCACTAATCGATTGATAGTTACCACTTAACAGAACTATGTGTGTGTGTGTGTTTGTAGGTGCTGAAACAAGGGAGATTGTGTGGCCTGGCACTGAATTAAATCTATTGTGTTGTGTCAATCAGCCACGGTTAGGAGCTTGTGATTCAAAACAAGCCAATGATAGATGTGAGCAGCTGTGCCTCCATGGTTGTAGACAAAACAAAGGCGGCGGCTGCCAACCCACTTCCACTGGTTCAGTTTGTTCATGTTACTGTTAGATTAAACTAGTAGCATCTAACATTATGCTCTTTTTTTCTTAGATTATTGATTAATAAAACGTCTTCTTTCTTTTTACCAAAAATAAACTAAAAATTAAAACGCGCTCGTTTATTATGCTCCATTTGTTCCTGTTACTTTACAATCTTTTTATCTTATGTTATATGTTTCTTACTTTCGTAAACTGTAATTTAAGTAGTAAAAAAGATTTAAATGTTGCTTGGACGTAAACAATTTACTTCATATCACTGCAAATGAAAAAGAAATACAAAAACCCTAGGAAGACATTTTGTTGCTAGTATCTGGAATAGATGGTGTTGTCGTTATTATGCTTCATATGTTTCATTTTATTCGGTTTTTAAGGTTCATCCATGTAGATTAAAAAATAAAATAAAAATCTACAGAATTTGTCTTAGTTACGTAAAATTTTATTAATTAAACTAATTCAACCAATAAAAAAGTTGTATTTTGTAGTTGGTCACAAAACTCAAACAACATTAAATCTTCGTATAGTATAAAAAGAACTATACTTATTATGAAACAAAATAAAAATCTTAAAACACTAAGTAAATTGAAATAGATGGAGTAATAAATTTTGATATGAAATATTCTAATAAAAATTAAGTTTCAAAAATAAACATAATGATAAAATTGAAAACGAATATAGACCAGAATACAAAGGTGTTTTTCGTTTTGTTTTATGTCAAACATATTACAGAAAAGGTCCATAAAGTAAGGATTCTTCTGCTTCGTAAATCATACATGGCTCTGAATGTATCACAGGAGAGAGACTGGAGAGATGCAGAAGAAATAAAGATGCAGGAAGTTCTCATTCACAAATAAAACTGCAGGACAAAAATAAATAATTAAAAACTAATGTACTGCATCCAGGCCAAAGATGTGTTATCCAAAAAAAATATGTGTTATCCAGACAAAAGATGTGTTGCTTTTTTGTACTGCAAATAATAGAGGGAGGAGGAGAGCTGTCGATATGCAGTTATCCAATAAGTTTTGTAGATTTTTTTTTTTTGAAAAAAGCTTTCTATGATTTTTTTTGTCAAAAGCATGTGAAACTTTTTTAACCTATTATCTATATTATTTCTTTTGATTCAAATAAGTTAAAATTTTAACTTATTCTCTCTCTCTCTCTCTCTCTCTCTCTATATATATATATATATATATTATAGCACATACATGCATTTCATATATTAGTGTATCAATTTTATATTTCAATATATGCAGTATTTTTTTTTTTAGATTTTTCAAGTTGACGAAAATATCTATTTTATTAATTCATGTTATTTACTTTTAAATTAAATAAATAAATATTTAAAATAATAGTTAATATTTCACTTTATGAAATAATTTATTTTAAAAGAATTATTAATATATAATATATTTTGTTAATTCATTTTATTTAATTTAAACTAAATAATTAAATATGTAAAATAATATTTAATATTTCACTTTATGAAATAATTTAATTTAAAACGAATTATTAATATATAATATATTTTATTAATTCATGTTATTTACTTTAAACTAAATAATTAAATCTTTAAAATAATATTTTGATATTTCACTTTATAAAATAATTAATTTTAAAACCAATTATTAATATATAATATACTTTATTAATTAATGTTAATTACTTTAAAATTAAATAATTAAATATTTAAAATAATTAATAATTTATTTTAAAACGTGTTATTAATATTAATATATTTTAATAATTCATGTTATTTAGTTTTAAACTAAATGATTAAATCTTTAAAATAATATTTAATTTCATTTATGAAATAGTTTATTTTAAAAATAATTTATTTTATAGAAAATAATACTTAGATAAATATTACATAAAATTAATATATTTAAGTGATAGGAAAGAACCAAAAATTGAGTAAAAATATTAAAATTAAGTGCAAAATAAGAATACTTATAAATTTTTATTTATGATAACTTTTCATATAATATAAAATTTCAGTATATTTATTAAATTTTGATATTTATTGTTATTTGTGTCAATTTGATATTATTACTTATTTATAATAAGTTGTATTTGTTTAGATATCTAATTCTAAATTTAAAATAATAAATATTTATTTAAGTGTAATAATTTATTAAATTAATTTGATCTGCATTTGTTCTGCATGATCTGCATTTATTATACTTGATCTGCATTTTTATTTGATCTGTATTTTATGATCGTTCTCCATTCGGAGCAATGTTTTCAGTTTCGAAAACAAAAAAAAAAATCATACAATGTTTTTTGGACATGAGTTTGATATATAAATATATAGAGCGTGAATAATTTCTTTTGGTCAACATCGCTAAAATTTTGGTTCTGGATCTTCCACCTTAAGGGTGCGATACTTTCCTAGAGAATTGGATTCTTTCTGTTTTCCTTTGTTTTGTTTATATAGAAATATTTTTTTTTGATAAAAGTTTAATTTATATATAAATATAGAAACCTAGATTTTTTTTTTTGTAAACGAAAAAAAAAAAAATCTAGGTTTCTATATTTATATATAAATTAAACCTAGATTTTCTCATATCCATTTTGAGTATGAAATCATTTTGTGTATGTTGAAGATTCTCAACATCTCTTTCCTTTTCACATGAAATAAGTGAATAATTTGCCTACAAATAGCATTCGCAGAGTGCAGTTTTTCTAAGAAGTTCAGAAGATAAAAAGATGGTCGATTCAAAACTCGTTATTTTGGCTTTCATAGCTTTGTCTCTTTTCCTCTCCGGTTAGTATTTCGTAAACTCCATTTCAAACAATTTTTTTTCAAATACATCCATTTTACAAAAACATATTCATGAACAAGAAATTTGTAAATGGTGAACACTTAAAAGAAAACTATATGTGTATGTGTTTTTGGTAGGTGCTGAAACAAGAGACATTGAGTGGCGTGGCTTCTGTTGCATTAATCAGCAACAGTTTGGAGCATGTGATACAAAACAAGACAATGATAAATGTGAGAAGCTGTGCCTTCATGGTTGTAGTAGGTACAACAAAGGTGGCGGCTGTCAAGCGGTCCCCAGTGGTTCTGTTTGTTCATGTTACTGTTAAACTACTATCAGCATGTAATATTATTTACATGCTCTTATATCTTTGATTATTGATTAATATAAAAGTCGTCTTTTGTTATTCTCTATTTGTTGGTGTAATTGTTATTCTTTATTTGTTCTTGTTACTTCACAATCTTGTAGCTTTTAATTTTACTATCTCCACATTTTTTTTCTATTTCTTGTTATGTATTCTTCTTCACAACATGTTGTGTTTCTTACTTTTGTCAATTGTAAATTCAAAAGAAGTCAAAAGATTTAAATCATCCTTGAATTAATGCAAACAATTTACTTAATATCTCTGAATTTTAAAAAAGTACAAAAATCCCAGGAAGAGATCTTGTTGCTAGTTTTAATCAAAGAATCAGTAGTCTCGTATAAAATATCAAAAACTAAACCTTACTGTTGTTAAACACGGCATGAACCAAATCAAATCTCTTGTTCAGTATCAAAACGTTTAAGAGTGTGTTCAAGCATCAAGCATGCCCATAAAAAATGTGTTTTGTGTCACGATTGATAAATAACTCATGACACGTATAAAATTGTAGCAAACTCTCATCTTCAGTGAGAAATTGAGAATGCTTCAAACTAGCATCCAGCAAACAACTTTGAAAAAGATAAATATCTTCAGAACGCCTAAACACTACCAGGTCAAATTCCTGAGTCTCTACCTATTTCCAAATTAGACTTTTCTTTGCAAATAGCATGACTTTCATTCCTTTTTGGGGGTCTATAACTGACTTTGTCATTATATTACCTCTACATAAAATACAAACCAATAATATACTGACACGTAAGTAGATTGAACTTTCTTCCTCCCACATGTCAAGAAAATAACAAGCTTTTATTTTGAAACTTTCCAAAAGTAGAATTATTACAGAAACCAAAGTCAAGTAACGAAGATAATTCACTTTCCTAGTCCTCTTTCCTCTTCTTCTTTTCACGGTTTGAAGTTTCTAACCAGAGTCAGATCTCACAGCCGCATGGGGACTAGAACAGAATCACGTTGTTTCCACGTGACCACCACGAGAAAGGAGATCGTTGTACCGACCTCTTCTAATCTTATTCCCTTGCCCGAAAAGAAAGTCATCAGTCTATCCAATCTCGACCTTCTTCTACCTCCTGTCGACATTAACGTTTGCTTCTTCTACAAGAAACCACTTTATAACGTTACAAACGATGCCCTTAAGACAGCTTTGGCGGAGGCTCTCGTCTTTTACTACGTCCTTGCAGGCGAGGTTGTGGCCAATCCCATGACCGGAGAGCCAGAGATTCTCTGCAACAACGGGGGCGTCGAAGTGGTAGAAGCTGTTGCTGACGTGGAGCTCCGGGAGCTTAACCTGCATGATCCTTATCAAAGTATTGCCAAGTTTGTTCCCATGAAAAACCATGGAGTCTTTGCTATTCAGGTAACAATCAGGAAAGCCGGCTCCACTCCGGCATATATATATATATATATATATATATATGTTAATAAAAACGTTCATATTTTTTTAACATTTGCACCAAAAAACGTTCATATTTCAAAGGGCAAATCTTTAAACTAGACCTTTTCATTTTTTTATCAGAAAATAAACTTCAAAAACTAAAATGACCAAAATAACATATTTTATTTTGATTTTTTTGTTTTTTTTTAAACAAAAAAAAATTAGGATTAATTAATCCAAAGTGTACAAAAATATATTTACTTATTTTTCATAAAACATTTAAAAATATTTTGTTCGCTTTATTTTTAAGATCTATATTTGTGATAAAAATGTATATCTAGGAAATTTTTCTAATTCAAAACATAGAATTATATAATTACCTTTGTTCCCAAAAAAAATATATTATATAATCTCCATAACCGGTTCTAGCCAAACCCCGATAAAATATTTGAATCAGCCGCCAATTTTTTTTAAGTTAATATACATAGTTCTAAATTAATATTTTTATTATTAGAAACCTAAAAAAATTTATAGTCCATTGAATCTCTAATCCGATCCAAATGGTCTACTTGAAATAAGTATTTACATGAAAACTTTTAAAGATATTACGTATTTACAAAACAAATATTTCTAAATTCACTTCAATTCAGATCCAAATAAAGAATTATACACAACTTAATAATTTTATAATTTGACTGAATAGGTTACCGAACTGAAATGTGGGAGCTTAGTCGTGGGATGCACGTTTGATCATCGTATAGCTGATGCATATTCAATGAACATGTTCCTCTTATCATGGGCAGAGATCTCTCGATCCGATCTACCCATCTCTTATCTACCTTCGTTCAAGAGATCTCTCCTAAACCCACGTCAACCCTTGATCATCGACTCATCAATAGACCAAATGTACATGCCTGTAACGTCGTTGCCCCTTCCACAAGAAACCACCAACCCTGATAATATCCTCACAAGCCGTATCTATTACATCAAAGCAGAAGCCATACAAGAGCTCCAAACTCTGGCTGGCAACGGTAAGAGGACGAAACTCGAGTCTTTCAGCGGGCTCTTATGGAAACTCGTAGCTAAACACGCTGCAACAACAACAGATTCAAAACTCTTGAACTCTAAACTTGGCATAGTTGTCGACGGGAGGAAGAAACTTATGGAGCAAGAAAGCAACACTTACTTCGGAAACGTCCTCTCGGTCCCATTTGGTGAGCAAAGAATCAATGACTTGACCTACAAGCCAGTCTCTTGGGTGGCTGATGAAGTTCACAAGGTTTTAGAGAGTTCAGTGACCAAAGACCATTTCTTGAATTTGATTGATTGGATTGAGACTCGTCGTCCGGTTCCCGTTCTATCAAGAATCTACGGTACAGGATCCGAAGATGGACCAGCTTTCGTGGTTTCCTCAGGGAAGAGTTTTCCCGTGACCCGGATTGATTTCGGGTGGGGCTCACCGGTTTTTGGATCGTACTATCTCCCACTAGGAAGCAGAACTGGTTACGTGATGACAATGCCGAGTCCGGTGGTGGATAACAGCGCGGGAGATTGGTTGGTTTACTTACATCTTGCGAAAGGACAGTTGAAGTTTATCGAACAAGAGGCTTCTCATGTGTTTAAGCCAATAGACAATGATTATCTCAGGATTTGAAGCTATACTAATATGTTTGTTGGGTCGTCAACAAACTATGTTTCATTATGAGTGCAATCAAATAATTTTGTTTTTGTGACTCTGTCCAGATTTAAACACCTAGAGAAAAAAACGAAGGCTGAGAAAAATTTGCTTTCAAGTAAGTAACCACTCCAAATTTGGACAAATATATTTTGGACCAATGTGTGTTATAAACCGACCAGCTACAGTTCACAATAAAATTGTTATGTTTGGAGAAGCCTAATTGTGCCTCGAAAGGACAACATTTGACAGCTCGAGTAGGTGTCAATTGTTATGGTAATGGTAATGGATATAGGATTATGCGATTTTGTATATAGTGAAAATGGATATAGGATTATGCGATTTTTTTCTATAGCGCAAAATCAAAATTCTATAGTATTCAAAAAATTGTCTATAGTATTTCATAATTTTCCATATAAGTAGATTTTTTTCTTTTTTTTTCGAATAATTTCATATATGATGGATACATATCCAAAATTTCCACGACGATTCTGCACCTCGCGTCCATCCAACACCAACAGTCAAAATACGTAAGTATCCCCTAAGTGTTACTTCCCTTGTTTTTTATTTGAGGGTATTATTGACTTTGCATACAAAGTAAAGAGAAACTGATGGTGATATCATCAAGTAAAACTCTCAGGTTCCTTACAGAAGATCACATTCTAAACCAAAATCATTGCAAGCTTTTGGATTCGTGGTTCTTCAAACAATGACTCTCTCCCTCCGAATCGCTCCATCACCGATCTCTTTCCGTTACTCTTCGACTTCTCCTACCGCCTCCGCCGTCAAATTCCGTCCTGTGAAGCAGCACTGCCGGATCCCAAACTCAAGCGTCGCGACGAAGAAAACCGGATTCTGTTCTTCGGGCGGTGGTGTTTTTGACTCCGGGAAGAGGATCGGTTCCTGTGTGGTGAGGTGTAACTTAGAAACGGTGAATGTCAGTGTCGGTACGGTGACGGAGGTTGACAAGGACACGTTCTGGCCAATCGTTAAAGCCGCTGGTGATAAGCTTGTTGTCCTCGACATGTACACTCAGTGGTAATATGTTTCCATCAACACTTCTTGTTCTAATTTTTACTTTACCTTTTTAATTGTAACCTTTAAGAAAAATGCTGTCTTTTTTTTATTTTATTTTTGTCTTTTTGTCTTTACTTCTCACATTGAGTAACTTTAATGGATTAGAGCTAATTTTTAATCCCTTTGAGTTAACATTATCTTAGGGCATGTTTATTGGCAGTTTTTAGAATGAGATTCTTAACTCATATTTTTTTGCTAAAAGTCATTTCTTAAATAAGAGTTTTAAGAAACTATTCTTAGTTTTTCTTAGTTAAAATTAAGAGACGGTTTTTATATTACGCTAAGAACTCCTTACTAAGGACCCTGCAATAAACATGGCCTTACTTTTTCTCTGCACAGTTATGTTTTGTTTGTTTCTTTGGTTTTGCTGGATACAAAAGGATATGTAAGTATAAATCTTTACCTAGAGTTAAGATTATGTGAATTTAAGAAACAAAGCCTAAGTGTTGTTCCATTTTACATCAAAATGAAATGTTTGAGATAAGGTTTATAGTAAATGCTTTGCTATGGCGTTGAGAGTAATCAAAGTTTGCATTTGGCTCATTGGGATCTCTCTGCAGGTGTGGTCCATGCAAAGTTATGGCTCCTAAATACAAAGAGTTATCAGAGAAGTACCTGGACATGGTGTTTCTTAAGCTTGACTGTAACGAAGAGAACAAGGTCTCTCTCTCTTTTTTCTTTATTCTTATTTTCACTTGTTTCTTAAGTCTTGGAATTAAAAACTCTTGATTTGCAGCCAGTGGCAAAGGAGCTAGGAATTAGAGTGGTTCCAACCTTTAAGATCTTGAAGGACAACAAGGTGATAAAGGAAGTGGTGGGGGCAAAATTTGAAGACTTACTTGCAGCTATTGAAGAAGCGAGGTCAGGCTGAGCCTCCTTCTCTCAATATATATACATCACTCCCTGCTGTAGAGTATTAGGATCATTCTCCATCAACATGTAACTTGGTTTGGCTCTATGTATGTAAACTCTTTTGCTAAACTGGATTCAGTTGTAATGTAACAGTGTATGTATAAAACGCTGGAAAGTTATGATATATAGTTGAGCTAAATGCTTTTATATATCAAAAGTTTCATCAACAAGTTGTTGATTTAGTTCTTGATTTGAGGTCAACAATGTATTTCCATTGCACAAGCTTGATGGCTTAAGGGAGTAAGATGGATTTTAATTTTGTGGGGCTCCAATTGTTGAAACAAAGATGCATATTGTTCAGAGTTTGGCTTACATTGATGATGTATTTTTGTCAATGGATGGTTCCAACTACATTGTTAACAAGTCAGAACACTTCAATTCAGTTGTTCACCAAATCCAACTTCGCCTAGTATTATAATTAAATTTTTTTTTTGGGCATATGTAGCCTTATTTTTGTATTTGGATTTATTCACATATTCATTTATTTTTGGATTTAAAATTATGAGTATAATTATTTTTTTTTGATTGACCAATTCTATTTCTAAATTTTCACTAAAACTAAAATATACGTTAATTAAAATTCTCAATGAAGAAAAATGGTAATTAAAAAAATGTATAGAAAAAAACAGTCAAAAAAGAAAATAGACAAAGCTATACAGATCAGAGGTGCCACGTGGCGAGATCTGGAAGAGAGTAATAATCAATAGAAACGAGATCCGAGTCTTCTTCTCTCAGACACATCTATCTCTCTCTCTCTCCCTAAAGCTGGAGTGAACTGTTGAGGCCTTTGGTTTCATCGAGAGACCCCTAAACCCGATCTAAAGAGAAAGAAAGGAAATGGCGTCTTCTTCCTTCTCCCTCACCTCTCCAGCTGCTTCCCTCACCCAAACCTCGTCGCAGTTACCTCTCCCAACCACCCGCTCTCGTCTCCCTCGCAGAGTTTCCTTCCGTCTCTCCGCTAAACCTAAGCTTCGCTTTCTCTCCAAGGTATCTCTCTCTTAATGGATTGCCTTTTTTTTTGTGTGTTTGTGTATTGTATTTGATTCATTTCCCTCATGGTTCTGTTGTTTTGGGAGATGTTTCTCTGATAGGCTAGTTTAATCCTTCATTATTGCATTTATCTGATATTTTGGGTAGGCGATGTATATATTTTTTTTAGCAAAAAACAAAAATTAAATAAAATATACATTTTTTCTCAAATATTTTGGGGACTATATTCATCTGCAAAGAATTAATCCTGTTTGGTCTCATGTCTGAATCCCCTGAAAATGCATTAAATCATTTGTATATACACATATGTTTTATGTAACTTGTGGCATTTTGAAAATTGCAGACTAGTCGGAGTAGCTACCCTGTGGTGAAAGCCCAATCTAACCAGGTAACCTCCTTAGTTAGTGATGATCTCTTTAACAAAATGAAATGTTTCTCCAAAAACTTTACTCGTTTTTGGAATTTCCTCATGCCTTTAAAGGTTGGTTCTCCTGCGAAAATTGATGGACCCTCAGCTGAAGGAAAGGGTTCAAAGTCATTGGAAGACTCTTTTTCCTCTTCTTCACCTGATCAAGCTACAGAGGAGTCTATCTCTGAGTTCTTGACCCAAGTTACAACTCTTGTCAAGTAAGTAACAGTTACCCAACGTGTAAAACCAGGATCAATTTATAACCATTTGACTGAAATGCTCTTACCTCTATTATTTAGGCTTGTGGATTCTAGAGACATTGTTGAGTTGCAGTTGAAACAACTTGACTGTGAGCTTGTAATTCGGAAAAAGGAAGCTTTACCACAACCACAATCCCCTGCACCCTATGTTATGATGCAGCAACCAAACCAACAATCCTATGTGCAAGCACCGGCTCCACCTTCTGCACCTGCTGCCTCACCTGCACCTTCAACTCCAGCCTCCTCGCCTCCACCGTCCCCACCTGCAGCAGCCAAATCATCGCTTCCAACTGTTAAAAGTCCCATGGCAGGCACATTCTACCGCAGTCCAGGACCCGGTGAACCACCCTTTATCAAGGTTAGGCTATTTTCTAATTTCTTTAGCTCACAACTGTACAGAGACTTTTAAGTACAAGTTCATTTGTAAAAATAGCCTGGACCCTTTTTGTTTGAGGTTATGTGCTTAGTGCATTTGAAAGAAGAAGAATTAAAACAATATAAAATCTAATAGGATAATCTTAAGAAATGGGGTTTGTCCATAAGTAGCAATTTTCTATATTTTTTTTTGCATTTCATTGTCTGGATTCGTACTAATGTGACTTTCTTTACTGCTTAAGGTTGGAGATAAAGTGCAGAAGGGACAAGTTCTATGCATCGTCGAAGCTATGAAGTTGATGAATGAAATAGAGGTGCGTTCCTTAAATCATCTCTGACCAAATTGTTTTCTCCTAATTGTGAACTATCTATGGCTTCTCTTTTCAATCCCACTTGGCCATCCTTTTCATGCCTTCTATATAGCTAATAACTTTACAATAACCAAACTCTGTTATTCTCACTGGTCAATTCTATTAGGAGAAATAATACTTGTGCTTACCCTGTAACCATTCTACTAAGATTCCAAAATCCTACCTTACCTTAGAATGTTTGTTTATTTTGGACTTTATCTCTGAAACCTTTAAACTTCTTTATCTTCAGTCTGATCAAACGGGAACGGTAGTGGATATCGTTGCAGAAGACGGCAAGCCTGTTAGCCTCGACACTGTAAGTTTTCTCAGTTCTCTCTCTATCTTTAATATATTCAAGAACCACTTTCTGTGTGTGTTTACGACTTCATCATTAAAAGAGATCTCTACTGATATCAATGTTTATTGTGTTGCTGGTTTTATTACAGCCTCTGTTTGTGGTTCAACCGTAGAATCGGCACCATTAGACAATGGAGAAGAGAGGCTACTTTAATTCAATCTCTATGCTTTGGTATTACTGTTTCTTGAGTCTCTAAGAATGCGTCTTCGTCATTGTTACTGTCAAAACTCTGTTAGTTTTTTTTGGTTTGGTGAGGAAGAAAGAGTTTTAGTTTCTATTGGTTAAAACAAAGAAAAAGATGAGAGCTCTCTGTTTTATTTTTTTCTTCTTATATAAACACGCATTCTTGGTTCTGTTTATTGCAATTTTCTTATTTCAAAAGTATTACCAGCTGATTATTTCCTTAAACTCGGCCCGGCCCGGCCCGGCCCGTTTATATTAATGGCCCATTCTTAATTACTTTTTTCCTGAAATGTTGAATTCACCAGTTAAATTTTCCAGTGAAATGTTCACCTGATATCTAGGCCAATGGAAAGATGAGTAGAGAAAAGAGATTTTGGTTGTAGAACGGAGACAAAGAGCCAGATCGATCAGTGAATAATGATCCATTTAAGCTCGTTTTACGTATGAGTATGAAATTGTATAATTGCTAAACAGGGGTTGTATGTATCATAATGTTCTGATTTAACGTTGAAATTAAATGTAAATCATATAAAAGCAACCAAAATTTCAATTCAAGAATGGTTTTACTACCACTTAATAGAATTCGCCCAGATATTGTTAAAGCTTGTTAATGGCCTTTGGTCAACACATGTGACTAATGTTACAACTTATAATAAAAAAACGTGAACGGCAGGATTCGAACCTGCGCGGGCAAAGCCCACATGATTTCTAGTCATGCCCGATAACCACTCCGGCACGTCCACTTCTTGTTATCTAATCAGTTATGAAAATTACTATCATATAGTTATTTCAGATATAGATTCAATACTGAAGGAATATGTGTTTTTTTTTTTCAAAAATATTGCTATGAGTAAATATATTCATAGTTAAGGGTCGGTACGGATCAAATAGTACCGTAATTTCTATTTTTTATGATTTGTTCCCTACTATACAGATATTTAGTTTTCTAATTTAATTTGATTTCTAAAATTACAGAATTCTGAAAAATTTACAGATATTTGTAAATATCTATAGAAATTTCATCTATTTTGTTCAATACCAGAACAATTTGACTTTGATGAATCCAAACCAACTCAAACTGAATTTTATGTGTAGATAATTGGTTCAAGATTTTTTCAATCCAAATGTTCGTTTTGATTTGGTTTAAACCGAACCAAACTGGACATAACAAATGTCGGTAAGATAATAAGACCGAGTGTGAGGCCCATTGGTAGAGGTGGTATAAACATAAATACAATAATGCGTGGTTTGTCATATCCGCACATGACACGTGTGACGTGTTTCCTACGTGTATGAGTATATCTGTTACCGTGTTTCGATTTAACAAAAAGGGTTGTTTTGCGTAATCAAGAAGGAACACGGTTTGATACTACAAATATAATCAAAATAAGGCAACACGTCTGTTTTGTTGGTAATAATAAATTTAAGGAAAAGAACAGAAAGAAAAGCCTAACTCATTAAGCAAAATCGGATATAGTCTTTGTCCGAAAAAGAAGAACAGAGAAGAAAGAAAATGGGATTGTTCTCGAACAAGATCTCCAGAGATGAACTCAAGGCAGGAGATCACATCTATTCATGGCGCTCTTACATCTATACCCATCACGGTTCCATCTCCTCCCCTCTCTCTTTTCATTTACTCAATTTTTCTTGATCAGCCATCTTTAATATGTATGCAATTTCACAGGAATCTATGTAGGAGATGGGAAAGTAATCCATTTCACACGTGGAGGTGGTTTAGAAATCGGAACAGGGAGTCCTATTCTAGACAAGATCATCGTTAGTTCAGTTCCTCATCACGGAGGAGACAACCCGTGTCCTAATTGCAAAGACCAAACCAATCTCCACGGTGTCATCTCCTCTTGCCTCGACTGTTTCCTCTCCGGAGGAAACCTCTATCTCTTCCAATACAACGTCTCCAAAGCCATCTTCCTCGCCAAACAACGAGGAGGTACCTGCACTATAGCACCATCAGATCCTCCTGAAGAAGTCATCTCCAGGGCAAAGTTCCTCTTATCCCGAAACGGGTTTGGTGAGTACCATCTCTTGGACAACAACTGCGAAGATTTCGCCATCTATTGCAAGACTGGTTTGCTCGTGTTGTCGGTGACAAAGTCGGGGAGTAGTAGCCAGGTTCATTCGGTGTGTGCGGCAGGTGGTGTTGTTTCTTTGACATTAAGGGCTTTAGGTGTGGGGACGAGTAGTACTGGTCAAGCAGCTTCGTTGACGTCTCCTGCTTTGACGGTTTCTGCTTCGACTAGTGCTCTTTCTACGACGATTGGAGCTGTGGCTACTGGTGTTGGAGCCTTGGCGTTGACTGGGTATGGTAACTACTGTATTGGTCGTTTGGCTTATGATGTTGGTGTGAGGAAAGATGTTCGTAAGGTTGATGTGGAAGAGCTTGTTGGACTTATGGCTGCTATACAATTGAAATCAGACAACAATAACAGCAAAGAGTGTAAACTTACTTAGATAAAATCACTTGTTTTGGTTAATGAGTCCATGACTAATTTGTTATGTATTGTGTAAACTGTGTTTTTAACTATTTATGAAAGTGTGAACATACAGTAAAACAAGTTTATATTACAAGCCTTTGAAAGCTTATGATTTATTGAGAAACTAGAGATGAGAGTTTTTACATTTTCGAAAAGTGGTGATATGACTAATTGACTAAAAACCGACATAGTCTTCCAAATTCTCTAATATATAAGTCCTACAACAACAACAACAACAACTCGAAATGCCATGACACATTAGGAGATGATAATACATTCATTTGACACAATGATGAAACAGCGTGCAAGTCCTTGACTAAGTTCTAGGAACAGATGAAAGCTTGTGGCGAGTCCTCTGCACAAGAAGAGGCGTTTTATTTTATAACTCAAACGACAACAATGAATGATGCTTTTTTTTTAATTTGTTTAGAAAAGAGATTGTTATTTAACCTTTGGAACTCTACAAAGGAAGAGAGTATCCACGAAGATAAGTCGAATCCACTCCAGATTCTCTTACCAATGCCACTCTTCCTGTCCTAGCCACCTTCAGTTTTCTCCCAAAAACAAACACCATTAGAATCGCTAAAAACTGGTTTAAGGGTTATGAGATTTTTAAAAAGGAAGCAAAGGAACTTATATGAATTACCTCACAGATTCCGTAGACCTCTAACTGTGTTTGCAGAGCAGCCATTTTTCTGATATCTCCCGTAACCTCAAGAGTGATAGTATGATCAGAGACATCAATGGCTTTAGCTCGGAAGACTTGAGCAATATCGAGAACATCTCTCCTTGCAGATGTATGAGCAGCTACTTTGATCAGCATCAGTTCTCTCTCCGCAAATGGCATGTGTGTTATATTTTGAACCTGGAAAAGCACATCTATATTGTTAAAACTGTAATAACTTTTGCTACTGTTTTTAAATAAAGATAGTAGAATAAATGAGAATTGTTTGGAAACATTAATAATATAGATACTTTCCTTTTGTATTTCTTTTTATTTACAGATTCTATCATTTCATTTAAAATCAATTTAAATTAATTAATTACAATGATTTTTTTTCTTTGTGGTGAAAATAAAAACACAAACTGAAATATATAATATATATTATATAAAATAATTTTTAAATATAGTATATCTTAGTTAATTTATTCAAATATATTAAATTTTGAGAGTTCAAATTTCAAGAAAACAAAATATCATAAAATTAATGATAATTCGTAGAAAACTAATTTTTGGTATGTTGTTTCATTTTAAAATAAATTAACAAAAAACATGTTAATATATGAATAGTACAATTACATCAAATTGCATCAAGTTATAAATTTCTAATATAATATTATGTACAAATAAAATAATTATTATTAAACATTTATATCATAAAATAATATATTCTATTCTATATGCAAATTACAAAACATATAAAATATATTGTATTTTATAAAACTAACGGTTTATGAGTTTATATTAAACACACAAGTTTTAGTACTTATTAGACCTGTAAACCAAAAACAAAATTAGAAACGTTTTTACAAACCATTTTCTCTCACCTCATGAAGATCAATCAACTTCTGAAGCTGCCTCACCAACTTGTCGATGTTTTCATCAGTTCCAGGGATAACTGTCGTGATCCGAGACAAGCCCTCTTTCTCAGCAGGACCAACAGCTAAACTCTAAAAGAGCAGTCAAAAAGCAATAACTTTCACATGTTGTTGAAAAAAAAGTAGTAACATCAGCTGAGAAACTAAAAAGCAAGAGTTAGTCTGCATAATAACCAACCTGGATGTTATAACCTCTCCTGGAGATAGCTCCAGTTATTAGATTGAGAACTCCAGGAACGTTGGCTACAAGTATAGATAACGTGTGGGATCGGAGACCATCTGACTGCAATAAATTTAAACAAGTCTTACGTTCAGTTTGACCTCAAAATGAAAAGTATATGTATCGAATGTGGTCAGTATCTTACATCTTCGTCGTAGACAACTCCCCAGTGAGCATCAAGAACCGGTTTGAAATCATTATAAGGCTCCACTGGATAAACGTCACCCTTAAAATAACATCAAGCCACATGAAGGGGATTAGTGATATGTAGAGCAGAAAGAGAAAAAGCAAATGAGCTATAATGTCTTATCTATAATACCCCAGATGATGCAGTGCCATTTCCACCAGTCAACGCTTGCTTTGTTTTCTCTACTACAGTCTCATGAGATGATTGGTTTACTAGATGAGGGTATGATGCCGCTGAAAATCTCCAAAATGGAGCAGTTTCTCCCATCTTTTCCCGTCTCAGAGCAATCTAGAGTCACAAACAGTAAGTAGTATACAACAACAATGGTTAAGAATGACAAAACTATTGATTACAGTCACTTAAGACACAGAAACTGACTACACGTAGCAATTAATGATTCTATATATAAGTTAAACTAATAAGTTTTCTTTTAAGAGGTGAACATCTCATTTAAAAGTTAGATTGGAAGTTTCATGTAACACTCGCTCCACCATTTAGAGGGTTCATTGCAGATAAACATAAAATGAAATAAAACCTACAAAAGGCTACAAGTATTGAAATACTTGTGACCCCAACCGTTCAATAAAGCTTTTCAAGATAAATAAATAAAGGCTACAAGTGGCTACAAGAAGGTGAGGTTGTAGACAGTTAAGATGGATGGAGAAAATAAAAGGTTAGTTGTTTTTTGGGATTGCAAAAAAAGAGTACTACCTTCCCTGTTCTCGCGACTTCTTTTATCCCAAACTTCTCTAAGTTCGCTGTTAGTGCAACCATCTTTCCCGGATCTCCAGTTACCTAAAGAACGGTAAAAAAAAAAAGATGAAACTTATTAGAACATCCTTTGACCATTTTTGATATGAATGTGAAGAAATAGGACTGACCTCGATCGTTAGAGTGTGATCAGAGGTATCCACCACTTTTGCTCTAAAGATATCCACCAGCCACATGATCTGTATAATAGTACATGGGAACCTTATAAACATAACTTTCTAAAAAAAAAATCAAGATCTAACTGTTAGTCCAGTAATAATTGTTTTTTAACCTCAGAGCGGGTGGTTGGATCAGCGTTAAGTTTAATTAGCATTAACTCACGTTCTACATGCGGCTCCTTGGAGAGATCTTCAACCTGAACAACAGACAATAGTGAACACAATGATTAATGAAACTATACATGTTTGCTAGACTTAACGAAACACGAAAACAGTAGTAGAGAAAAGTAAACTTATAAAACCTTGATGACGTTGACGAGTTTGTTAAGCTGTTCAACAACTTGCTGCAAGACTTTGTCAGTCCCAAGAACAACAATGGTAAACATAGCTTTGTCTTCGTTCAACCCCACAGCTAGAGACTCGATGTTGTAACCTCTTCTAGCAAACACTCCAGCTATACGGTTTATTATACCGCTCTCATCACCCACAAACACCGAGATCGTATGCCTCCTTACTCTACAAAAAAAAACAAATAGTGAGATTCTCAGTAGTAAAAGAGACTCACAACACATAACCGCATAACTGAACCCACCAACTTGTTGACCAAAGATAAGAGTAGCAGAAATGAACAAAGCCAAGAGAAGCAAGGAGAGTAAAATCCTAAACAACAACCGCTAGAAAGTAGAAGAAATTGCAATTTAAAGATTCTTTGAGAGAAAAGAGGAATCGGAATCTTATTTGAGTGTTGACCACCTCTACACTATTACCGAAAAAAAACAGTATCTGATGAAGTGAACAACAACAAACAAACACACACAAAAAAAAGAACTAGATAAAAGGGTAAAGGTAAAAGCTTTTGGTTATAAATGTATAAACTGGAACCGAGACAGAGTAAGAAACAAAGAATCTAACTTCGAATCAGTTTAAAAGACTCGATTTTTACTCGACCCATCAACGAAATGAACAGTCTTTACGACTTTGTAAGACTCTCGCGCACCTATCACATGCTGTGGGCGAAACAGATTGAGCAGTGGTGATAGCTTTATCAGTGGAAGCAGCAGAGAAGAGAGTGGCACTCCTCATTTTCCTCCCATCGATGATTTGCACGGAGTTGTTTGGGGTTTTGGTCGGAAACGCGTGAATCTTGTTCTGATTCAGGAAGTGGGCACACGCTAGTGAAGCAGCAGTAGTCGTAGTCGCCGCCATTGGTTGGAGATGGTTCGGTGTGAGGCGGAAAACAGCTGATGAAGAAGAATGAAGGAAGAAAGAGAGAGAGAGACTTTGGGTTGAGAAAAGGGCAAACACTATTTTTTGGTGGGCTGCGAGTGGAGGAGAGGTAGTAAGAGCACAAAGGGCTTTTTAAATCAATTCATTTTTTAATTTTTCTATTCGGCACTGACCAAAAAACATAATAATTCTGGTTCTGTTTTGTTTTATTATATGGTTTTGGACAAACCGGTTTTTACTGCTTTGTTGTTGGTATACATCGTTCTGTTTTGTTTCATTATATGGTTTAATGCAAACCGGTTTACTGTTTTGATGTTGGTACAATGTGTCTGATCCCAATAACCGACAAACATGAAAGTCACATGTGAGTTTCAATTACTATACGATTTGAGGGAAGCCACTGTGTTGTGTTAATATCAACGACTTTATTAACTACCATTCACTATTTTTTTTTTTTTAACTACCATTCACCTTGTTGTTTAAAAGTATCGTTTATATTCTTGAGTAGTATTTTGTAACTATATTTCTCAAGTCTTTGTTTACTAATAAGTTAATGGTTATCATTCCCAAACAACAAAATATCTAAAAGCTTTCACAAGTCACTTTCATGATTTTTGTCTGTATTATAACGTGTCCTCCTTCATATACTTTTTTAATATATATCAGCACGTGGTTTTATTCATAATAGTCTTTGTTTACTAAAGTAAATATGCTGAGTCTTTGTTTACCAAAGTAAATAGTTGATCAGTCTTTTGTTTACTGAATTAATAGTAATCGCCTTCACCACCGCTCCACTACTGGAATCGAAGAGAACGAATGAATGGTTGTGTCTTTCGTACCTACATGTTTAGTGGTCACATATTTTTTCAAACATTTTTGAACATTTTTGGATTGAAAGAGACTTTTAAACTTTAATATGGCCGACGTTGTTCTGTTTTCTCCACAAAGCTCATTGTTTTAGTTTATTCTTTTTCTCTCTTTTACAGGTATGATAGATATGACATGTAACATATACTAAAATAGGCATCATTTGCTAGAACGTTCCTAAATAGACACAGTGTAAACTATAAGCAGCATCTCATTAATCTAAACCATGCTCTAGAGTATAAGCTTGGTTTTTTTTTTTTTTTTTTTTTGTCAACCGAGTATAAGCTTGGTTAGTCCAGTTTTAAACACGCTATGATGACCAAGTTTATTGGATTCTAGATGATCAAATCTATTATGGAGCTCTATTGGCTGATCTCTTTCGTACAAAGTAGGACCACTGCCTCTACTTTTTGCTCTGTTCTCTTCTTTGTCATTTTCGAGACACAGAGTTGAATTAGCCGTTGTTGAACTATTGATGCGATTGGACTTCTCACTTACTTCTTTACACAATCCCGCTGTACTCTTTATGAAGCTTGTGTTCAACTCTTGTGGCTTTGTCTTGATCAAGGCCCATCTGAGTGTCCAAGAGTGATTTTGTTGTGTTGTTTCTTGTTTCTTGTTTCTTGTTTCTCCTTAGGTCGTCAAATCTTGTGTCTAAGTGCAATTTAAGTAAGATTTTTTTTTTTATCAACTGATGAATTTCATAACGGGAAAGAGGTTTAGTGTGGGCCTAGACCCAACATAGATAGTTTATTACAAAGGGACATTCTGGTCCAGAGGTCCGCAGACCCATTTAGATTTCTAAGAATGAAAAATGTGAAAGAAAAGAAAAAATAAGAGCCGATGATCGAATCAATGTCAGCTAACACTCCAAAAAATACTATCATGGAGATGGTTGTGACGAGCCGCTTACAATCTGGCTTTATCGAAGCCAGACACTATTGATGCCGAGCGAGACGGCAAGCTCTTTAATACAAGATAGATTTGAAAAGCTCTTTAATACAAGAACACAGTTACATACAAACTTTCTCAAAGGCTGACTAGGTTTCATTTCAAGTTTATTACTACAAAACGAAAAGGAAAATATGGTTTTAATGTTATAATATAATTACTTTTTTTGTCTTGGATAAATTATGTTAAAGACTTATTATATTTTACAGTAGTTGTAATTTAGCATTTCTTCTTTCTTAAGGCATCACTCAACTTATAAAACTAAGCTAAAGATTGATCTACATATTCATATGGGTGTTAAATTTTATATTTTTATAAATTACTATTTTGTTTTTCATAATTCATATTATATATTTTATGTGTTATTATATAATTAATTGAATATTTTTAAGTTGATATACATCAAAGTTTAATCTGAATCAAATCATATATTATGGTTATTTTTAGTTATTATTGTTTTAGATTATTTTTAGTTTGGATTTGACATACTCAAACCAAATCAGTTAATATGATTTTTGTTGATATAACTATTCTAACATATGAATATATTAATCTTTGAATATTTTAAGATTTCTATACATCAAAATTAAATCCATCAGGATTTCATATTTACACAAGATAATAAATGAAAAAGTGATAATTACAAAATAAATAATTATTTGGAGAAAAACAGTAAAAGAAGTATAATGAAAATTTTTAAAAATTAATAATTAAATAGGTAATTATTTATTTTGTAAACATTTGAAGTTTTAATTTTATTTAACCAAAAAGGTTTTAATTTTATTATTTTGGGTTTGGATAACGTTGACTTTTCTCGAGCATATACGAACTCCCATAGACACGTATTTACACGAACGTACGATCAGAACCCTCCACGTGTCTTATAACTCACAGTTTACCATTCAGAATCTCTGGTTCAATTAAATCCACGCGGTGCATCAGTACATCGTCGCACCTGATTCCTACCACCGTCACTCCCTTCCGGTGAGAGCACGGACACGATCGCGCATCAGATCGAATCGAGAGAGAGCGAAATTTTCGAATTCTTTTATCGAAATGCACAGTGACATCGGAACGAAGCCTCTGATTGATTGTTAGGGTTTCCCGTGAAACATAAACATGGACGCGGAGCGATCGTCGCTGTGCAACTTCGTCGTGAACTTCCTGATGGAAGAGAACTACCTCTTAACGGCCTTCGAGCTTCTTCACGAGCTCATCGACGATGGACGCGACGCTCAAACAATCCGCCTCAAGGAGTTCTTCTCCGATCCTTCTCGTTTCCCTCCCGATCAGATTTCTCGGTATAATTCGATTCGAGGTTCGCTGATTCTTACGCCTCCTCACATTGTTTGTTTTTTTCGCTCACTCACTTAGAAATGGTTAGATCGTCGTTGTCAAGTAGTAGTGTTACGTTTTTGTAAACGATAATGGTTGGTAGGTAGATAGTAATTTTATTACTATGCAATGCAGTTGCGGATCCGCAAAGTTTGTTGGAGGAGAAAGAAGCGTTATCGGAGAAGTTAGCTATTAGTGAATATGAACTTCGTCTTGCACAGGAGGATATTGCTAGATTGAAAGCTGAAGGTCAGAAGAAATCTGATTGTTCCATTGACAAGTTAAAAGGTATGCTTAATTGAATTTGTGTGCACAAACAATCAGTTCATGTGGCGTGTCATGAAGTTGGTAACTAGGATTGCAGAAATTTCAGTGATGATCGAGTTTATGTAAATTGATCCAGTTTTTATATATTTTAGTACTAAGTGCAGACATTTTAATGTATCCTGAAGTCTCTTTTGCAGTAAGTAGTTGCTAATGTAGCTTTCAGTGTCTGTGCGTTAGCTCTCTTCTGTTAGCTGTTTTGGCAAGCATCATTTATAATGCATATAGTTTTTTTTTTTTTTGGTTAATGTTTCATCTCTCGTTAGAATGGTAGCAACAGATCACCAAACACCATCCTGTACTGTTTGTTATTTCTCAGAGTTGGAGGCAGATGAGTTTGGAGACAACAGACCAGAAATTACACGGAAAAAGAAAGATTTTTCCTTCACTGATATAGGGCCTTTGAAGAACAATGAACGTCGAGACTTAAACTGTGCAGTGAAAGAGTATCTTCTTTTAGCAGGTTACAGACTTACGGCGATGACATTTTATGAGGAGGTATCTTAGTTTTATGTCAATATGTTTATACGTTTTCGTGCTTACTGAGATCTACCTTGTTTAATATTAGATCTTTGACGTCATTGTGTATGATCTGTTTATCAGGTGACAGACCAGAACTTGGACGTTTGGCAGGACGGTCCAGCGTGCGTTCCTGATGCCTTGCGCTATTATTACTATCAGTACCTTTCATCAACTTCAGAAGCAGCTGAGGTTATATCCTGATAGCTTACTGTTCATGTACATCCTTCAAATTGAACTGTTGTTGCCAGACATATCACTACCTCGAAACTTAGATCTTTGACATCATTGTCTTATATAGAACTCATTTCTTGCTCTTGTTTCATCTGCACTTTTTTCTTGGCTATTTCCTGTATATTTTGATGCTATTCTGATTTTGGAGTGAAAATGTTGAACGGGATCTTGCTTTTAAATGTAACTTTTTGTATTTAAATATCGTACTGGCCATCAAAGTTGCACTTTGAGGTTTTGCGAGGATAAACATTCTCTTTGAGGATATGAATTTGAATTATCATTGTTCATAATTTTTGGATGCAGGAGAAAATAGCCATGCTTCAGGAGAATGAATCATTGAAAAAAGAGATTGAGAGGCTAAGCAAAGAAAAGGATGCGCTACTTAAGAGCAAAGAAATATTCGAAGAGCAAATCAGTGCTTTTAACAAGTCTACTGAATCACTTCAGAAGGATCTTAGGGACAGAGAAAAGCAGGTAGTCTTTTTTATAGACTGGTTTTTGTAAAGAAGCGGGCACTTTCATAACTGGAAATGTAAATACCTGAAATGACACTGATAGTATTCAGGTGCAAAGTTTGAAGCAATCCTTAGAGCATCAGAGGAGGAATCTCAATGACTGCAGAGCAGAAATCACATCTCTTAAAATGCATATTGAAGGGTCTCGTGCTGGTCAAAATGTGTCAGCTAGTGGAAGTGATGCTGTACAATCCCAATCCGTGGATAATGTCGAGAAACAGAAAAACGCTCTGCCTGTGGAAGTTGAGAAACCAACAATCGAAAAGGATGGTGGATTGATTTCTGAGAGTTCTATATCTAATGAGAAAGGGCATACGCAAACAGAAGACGGTCTTGTGAAGGAAGAGATAAAGAATATAGTTCCTGATCTAAGAGAGGTGGCAGAAGACGCCAGCAGTGTATCTTATAAATCCTTGGATAATACGTTGGAGAAAGAAGTCTCAAACCATATGTTAACTCCATCGAATGGTAATTATTCACCCAGTGACCTTGAAAGCATCATGAAACTGGATTCTGGAATTGGTCGTTCAAAATCGGAAAATGCAATTGTGGATGCAGCTTCTGAGGAAACGGTAAGTCCTGATTATACTTGAGTATTTACTCTTCCATCGTGAGTACTCTGTTACTTTCATATTTTAATGATCGAGAATACTTCTGAAAGGCACCTTGTCATCAACAAAATTGGTAGATGTACATGTCGCTGTCTGCTTTCCTTACGCTATGCTAATGGTATTTTGTGTCAACATAACGTAATATGAGCTGTTTGAATATTCTTTTGTCCGTTCCGTTACAGGGCTTAGGAACAATTCAGATACTTGCAGATGCTTTGCCAAATATTGTTCCATATGTTCTGATAAACCATCGAGAGGTTTGAGTGTTTTCTTTCAATTTTACCTTTCAAATCGGTCGATGGAGTATTACTGATCTGGTTTGTTTGACCGATAGGAACTCCTCCCACTGATGATGTGCGCAATCGAGCGGCATCCAGATAGTAATACAAGAGACTCCTTGACCCATACACTGTTCAACCTGATCAAACGTCCAGATGAGCAGCAGAGGCGGATTATTATGGATGTATGTTACTTTTTTTAACTTAGAAGCCTTCTTTTTGCATGATTAGTACTGGTAACCGTTTTTTGAGGTTGAGGCGTTTTATTGTTTATCCAGGCATGTGTTAGCCTATCAAGGAATGTTGGGGAAATGAGAACAGAAACAGAATTGCTTCCACAGTGCTGGGAACAGGTTAATGCTCTTGAGTTTACGAGTTGTATGCCTCTGCTTTAACAAGAAATTTTATTTTGATACAAATGGTAACATGCTGGCTGTGTCTATATCAGATAAATCATACATATGAAGAACGCAGGCTACTAGTTGCTCAATCATGTGGGGAGCTTGCAGAGTATGTCCGCCCTGAGATACGCGACTCTCTTATTTTGTCAATCATACAACAACTAATAGAAGATTCTGCAACCGTTGTTCGAGAGGCTGCCGCTCATAATCTTGCATTGCTACTTCCTTTATTCCTGAACACAGACAAATATTTTAAGGTCAGCTTCATTGATTTTGCTTTGTAGCACTGTGGAAAAGAACTCTGACTTGATCCGACTGACATGGCTACAGTATAAGCTCTAAAACAGGCTGATTACAAAATTTATAGGAGTGGTATTTTTACGCTGGCATGAAATACTAGCATAGAAGTTCCGTTTATATCAATAAAACCGAAAGGCTACAAGACCAGTTTTCTGTTTGATCATTAGGTTGAGGAGATGATGTTTCAGTTGATATGCGATCCATCTGGCCTGGTAGTTGAAACCACATTGAAAGAACTACTTCCTGCAGTGATAAAGTGGGGTAACAGGCTGGATCATATCTTGAGGGTTCTTCTTTCTCACACATTGAGCTCTGCGCAGGTATTAACTCGTTGCATTTCCCATTTTAAGACTGTAATTGAGAGTGGTTGCTTGCTATATCTATTATAATTCATTTTCATTTACAGCACTGCCCACCCCTTTCTGGAGTTGAAGGGTCATTGGAGTCTCATCTACGAGTCCTTGGTGAACGGGAGCGATGGAACATTGATGTCCTACTAAGAATGCTCATGGAGTTGCTTCCAGCTGTACACCAGAAAGCAATGGAAACATGCCCTTTCTCTTCTCTCTCAAAGTCAGATGAATCTGCAGTCTCTGTTTCCTTGCTTGAGACCTATGCCGAGTAAGCTTCTTAACCCCTTGACAACTCTTGATACAAAGAAAAAATTCTAGTTTCTGACGTCTTCTTGTACATAATCTACTATGTCTTGACTAAATGGAATTTTTCTTACCAGGGGACGTTCTGAGTGGCCTATGTTTGAATGGATGCATGTTGATTGCTTTGCTAACCTGTTACAATTGGCATGCATGTTGGCCCAGAAAGAAGATCATTTGAGAAATCGGATAACAAAGGTCCGGATTGTGTTTACACCTGTTCTCTTATCTGCTATTGATCTTAAGAGTATCAACACTAACTTTTCATAAAATTTCCGCATTGATTTGCAGTTTCTCTTGGCTGTGTCTGAACGTTTTGGAAGTTCCTACCTAACCCACATTGAGTTACCTGTGTTCTTAGTGGCCGTTGGAGATGATGCAGCTGATCTTCAGTTTTTACCTTCTGCAATCCATCCAAGGATAAAAGGTAACATAATTTCTGGATATATATAGCTTAAACAGTTTCTGACATAGATTCTTGTTTACTTTCTTCAGGCCTGAAACCTAGAACTGCTGTAGCCAATAGACTCGCCACTCTATGTATTCTACCGCTTCTTTTGGCAGGAGTTCTTGGTGCACCAAGTAAACGTGAAGAGTTAACAATTTACTTACGACAACTCTTAGTCGAGAGCAAAACAAAGGAAAACCAGTCAGCAAAGCACAACAACGAGGTTTTGGATGCAGTTCGCTTCCTTTGGTGCGTGTTTCTAAGATTTAATTGTTTATTTATGGTTAACTGGAACTGCGTCTTCTCACCAATGTATTCCTCCAAACATTGCAGCACATTTGAAGAACATCATAACATGATATTTGGCATTTTGTGGGAAATGGTCGTTGATGCCACTGCAGAACTCAAAATCAACGCTGCTAAGTTATTGAAGACCATCGTAAGTTTTCCCACAACACACACTTTCCACTTGTTTCCCCCGATTTTGTACTTAATAGATATTAACATGTGCGACAGGTTCCATATATTGACGCAAAAGTTGCTTCCGCCAATGTTTTACCAGCCTTGATCACTCTTGGCTCAGATCAAAACCTAAATGTGAAGTACGCAAGCATAGATGCATTTGGGTCTGTAGCACAGCATTTCAAAGTCGACATGGTAATGGACTATTGCCAAATGAACTCTTCAGTTATCTTAAAGATCTCATTTCCATGAGCTAATCGAATCCGAATATGATGCAGATTGTTGACAAAATCCTAGTCCAGATGGATGCTTTTCTCGAAGATGGTTCTCATGAAGCTATAATCGCAGTCATCCGTGCACTCTTAGTTGCTATTCCGCACACAACAGAAAGGCTTCGAGATTATCTTTTGTCCAAGATTTTCCAGCTTTCAGCAAGTCCAAGCTCTTCCACAGACGTAACCCGTCGCCGAGAGAGAGCCAACGCTTTCTGCGAAGCCATTCGTGCACTTGATGCAACCGGTAAGAGTATCAAAACTTTCTTCTTTTGCTTCTTACATATCTTAATGTTCCAAGATTAACTCGTTTTTATATGGTTCTGAAGATCTTTCCCAAACAAGTGTCCGAGAATACCTCATCCCAGCGATTCAAAACCTATTGAAAGATCCAGACGCGCTTGATCCAGCTCACAAGGAAGCATTAGAGATCACATTGAAGGAGAGATCAGGTGGAACACTTGAAGCATTCAGCAAAGCCATGGGTGCCCACTTGGGGATTGCATCATCTGTGACAAGCTTGTTTGGAGAAGGTGGCTTGCTGGGGAAAAAAGAAGCAAACGAAGCCTCAACGGTTACACCGTCATCACCTACTCTTCAAGGACCTGATTCACCAAAGGCGGTGCCTGCTGCGACTGAAGACAACAGATTCAGACGCATCATGAGAGGCAACTTCACTGAGATGCTAAGGAGTAAACCCAAGAACCCAGATGAGACACCGCCTTAACAATCACTAAACTAAATATAAACCAGGTTTTTGTTTCTATTTTAATGTTTTTATTACGTAAATTCTTATATGCAGAAATAATATCATGTTCTTTTGTTTCATCTCCTTCCCCCTTTGAAACTGTCTATAAATTTTCTTTTTACTGAAGTTGCATTTATCAGGGTTTTATAAATTCATTATACTCGAAAAAATGTGACAGTACATATATACATGACCAGTTAGACACTCAATTACTCGATAAATACATATTTGAATAATTCATCGAAATACCACAGGCTGTGATTTAAAAAATGAACGTATAGCTCAAAGCACTTTTGCATCAATATAGCTCAGAACTCAGAAGCAGAGTCTTGAAGATTTACCAAACTCAACTTCAAATCTTCAATGGCTCTTTCTCTCTGGTAAGCAAAGAACTTCAGTGACTGCAACAAACAACAAAACAGAGCAAAATAATTCAATGAAGCGGTTTCTCTCAATCAAATAATGAAAGTAAACATTTGTTTTCACTCATCTTACTTACCCCGAGTCTCTGCATTGAAACAGATCTTTGTAAAGCTTTTCTTTTGGTCAAAAGATTCTGTGCCATCAGTTTTGAGGAAGGACGTTTGTAGTTCTTGCCACGGTATATAAGTATTGCATGTCCTTCTTTAAGTTTTTCAATCGAGATTAGTACTCCATTACTCTCTGCTTCAAGTGATTTCGCTGTATAAACAACTCTAGAGAAAATCTTCTGCATTGTGATCACTTTTACAACCTCCCTGTGCTTCCAATGCTGATGCAGACCTTCCATTACACCATCAAAGACTCCTCTTCTTCCAAGAACCAAGCTACTGTTCATCCTCAGTCCGATTCTTCTCAAGCATTCTCTCTCTTCATTAGTCAGTATCTCAACGTCATCGTCGGGGTCAGATGGTTTCCATAAAGAATTCAGTTTGAGCAACTCTGTTGTTGTCTTCTCTATCTTTGACTTCAGCTGCAAAAAAGAAGAGAGAGCAACTCATATATAACTTAATACTAAAGAAGGATGCAATCTGAAGTTAAAGAGGGGTTACAATGAAAAGCTTGTGTTCTTGGCTTTTGAGTTCCTTTTCTAGCTTCGCTTTCTCAGCTTCAGTCTCCAGGTTTCTCATCTCCATTTCACCAAACTTCCTCTGAAGTTCTTGAAACTCTGATAAGGTTCCTGTCTTGCTAGCTTCCTCCAACTGTTCACCATTTGTTACCACCTCAGAGATCTCTATATCGCTCTCACGTTTGGTTTCTTCAAAATGTTGGTACCTTCTGAGTAACCTCTCTCTGTCATCAACCAAATCCGCAACTTCATCAGAAAGAAAGTCCTTGCCTCTGAACAGTATTATCAAGTATTTGTTTCGTAGTATAACAACTCCTCCAGTGAGATGCTGTAAGAGCCCAAAACATTCACATCAGCCACATTGATTTCAACTTTAGCCCATATAAAAACCAAAACTACCTTTAATTCTTCAGCCATTTCCTCATTGTTTGTATTGAGAGCTCCCCATTTTATTGCAATCTTTGCAATAACACACTTCTCCCATAGTTTCAAGATAGCAGAAGCTAAACCTTGAAGCCCATAGTTCCTCCCTTAAGAAAAACAAAGACTATTTAAACTTTACAGAAACACACACACGAAGTGAGGAAGACAGTGAAAAGGAAAAATTACCAAGGACGAAATGAAATGGTAAAGCTTGAGCAATGTTTCTCAAGTAAGTAAGCTCTTGGTCACTCAGCTTCGCTCTAGTGTTTGGTGGACAACGTCTAGAAGGAGTTCTATATCCATCAACAACCTCAGGAAGCAAATCAGCATCAACTGGAAACGGTCTTCTCATCCACCAATCCATATATCTAGGCCCCAATCCATTCAATAACCTATCACCTTCTCTCTCGTACAACGATGATGAGCTAATCTCATCTTGTCCCTTCGAGCTAGTTCTCTCTGATGATGGTGGGCCCCGATAAACAACGAGAAACTCCTTCTTGCTTAACACAACCAATCCTCCAGTCTTCAACTATTCTTGACAACAAAAAAACATCAAAGAGATTTATAATAGTTTTTAAAATGAAAGTAAAAGAAGTAAAAAACCAAACTAAACTAAAACCTCTATGATCTCTTGAGCTCGTTCCATGTTACGACAAAGAGGAACATCAAACCTAACCATAGCAAGCTCGTTCCCTTCCCATATTAATCTAACATCATTCACAACCGTCTCAGTAACACCTGCTTTTCTAACATTAACCCATTTTCTCAACTTGGAACCTTCGAGTCTGAGTCTTTTCAACAACCCTTGGTCTAGGATAAGATCAGCCGTTGTAAAGACTCTCTCTTTCTTCGTTCTCCTCAATATGAACTTTTCTTCTTCCCTCTCCCAAGGCATTCTCTTCCTCATCTCAGCCTTCTTATCCACAATGCCACTTAAGGAGTTAAACTCTGCTGGAGAATCATCCATAAGTGTTTCTTCAGAATCTTTGAGCTTCTCAACGCTACGGACGATCTTCTTCATGGCTTTACTTCCCCTGACACCGCTCTCTCTACGGTTCAACGCTTTAAACGTCTTCTCCTCCTCCTTCTCAGCGTTCTGTTTCTTCTTGTGGTGATGATGTGAAGTGTTGATAAGGTCATTGGGTTGGAGAAAGAGAGGACCTTTCATCCATGGAGCAGTTGGAGCCTTAATTGCAGAATCGTTGGGGAGTCTTGGGTTTTCTTTGAATTGATCAAAGTTGGAAGCTTTGGCTGCATTTGAAGGGTTTAAGGAGGAGATGGTGATACGTGATGGTAAAGGTCGCGCGGAGACGAAGAGAGGAGTTAGCATGAGTGTAAAGTCTGCAACTTTCGGTGAGAGTTCGCCACCGAAGTTTAACACTCCAAGAGGCAGAAGAAGCTCTTACAAAAACGATAAGATAGTTTTTGGGTTAAACTGGAGACGAAGACGGTTTAGGTGAACCGTCTCTTCGGTTATTGATCGTTTAAAATTAGGTATATCATTTACGTAATTAGCTGTATCAATTATGTATTGATTTGTACTCTCATTATCCATGAGAACAAATATTAACTGTATAACATACTCCATCTGTTTCATTATAAGTGTTACTCTACAGTTGTGTACACAGATTAAAAAAATAATTAATTTTACATATTTTCTATATAAAAATACAATTACCCATACACCTAACCATATTTTAACCAATAGAAAAAATAAATTACATAATAAAAGTAATAAATTTTGCATTGAAAACCGAAAACGACACTTATTTTGTAACGTAAAAAATTCTCTACAACGCCACTTAATATGAAACGGATGGAGTATGTATTTTTGTTAAATATCTGATTTGTCACTAAAATAGCAATAAATAAAAAATTCCAAAATTTATAATTCATTTTAATATATATTTTGTCATAAACTTCTATAGTTTATTTTATAGTTTTATGACTAAATAGTTTACTGGATAAAAATATTTTAAATTTGTAGAAAGAAAAAAATAATTATATAATTTGAAGTATCATATTAATAAACATAATAGATTTTTAAAATCAGATTGAAGCATATAAACATTTTTAAGCATTTAGTATTTGTCTTTGTGCAGTATTAACACGAATCGTCGAATACTATTCTTTATTTTAATCCATTAAAATTTCTGTTATTTATTTTCTTTCTGGTGTGAATCGAAATGATGTATAACAGATGAAATCAAATTTTATTGATTTCCTCTACTTAAAAATAGGCATTAATATTTACTAACTGAAGAAACCTCACAAACGTTTCAGCGATTACAGACCAGACAGTCCAGCTCCAGACCCAAGAACTAAAGGCGTGATTCTCAACAAAGGTTCTAAAGTATCTTCTGTAAATTTCCTCGCAAATAAAAAACATTTCGAAGTTGTAATATTCTCCCCATCACTACCATAATAAGCACACTCCTGTGAGAACCGGATACGGTTAAGAAACTCATCCGTTATATCAGGCCAAATAAACCGGCCAGGATGTGGACCAACTCTCGACCAATCCACCCAAGTCAATGTCCGGTTTGCACTCATCTCTCCATGGAACATGTGAACAAGTGTCGGTATGTAATGCTCGTCCACGTAACAAGGCGGTTTGCAATACCGATCGAATATCTTGTAATAAAAAGTGTCTGCGAGTATATGAAGAGCAAGCTCACGGGTTGTGCTAAACCATTGCGATCCTTTACGCCAATGTGTGACGTTGATTTGTGGATACATTTTGGGGTTGTAACGGCCACGGCCTGATTTGTTTGGATCGTCGAATGAACCTATGAAGCTGAGATTAGTGCCGGTTAAGTAGTCGTAGATGGTTGTGAAGTCGAAGAGTGGGATGCAAGAATCTGATAAGAGGACGAATCGTTGGTTTGATTCGTCGAGGAGAGCGTTGGCTAAGAGTCTTTTCTCTGCGTCTACCATCGATGATGTTCCCCAATACACTGGCTGTTTCACAAATTTCACCAACCAACATTATAGTTTAACGTTATCATTAAGAATGCAATAGTAGTATACACGTAAAACAGTTTCATTTCATACAAAATTTGTATATTGTTCTATAAAATATATTAAGAAATGTAATGTTAAGTATATACTTGTTAAAACTACTTTTCTTCAAAGATGATCTATGTTATTATCTTAATAACATGATTAAAAATATGTTAGAATAATATCAAGTGGGTTTATGGAGCATTATGCAAGGGTTGCAAATCAAGATCAATACACGTGCCACGTGAAAAAACAACCTGTCAACCACAAGAGATGTATAGGATTTGGTAATGTAGTGAGAGCTGATTATAAACATCTAGATGTACTAATCATACATGGTAAATGCAATTATGCATGAGAGTAGTTAAGAAAAGAGGTAAAATAGCTGTTAATTAATTATTACCTGGCTTGGGATTCTTCTTGAGTAGAAGACAGAAGTTTCAGGGTAAGATTCTTGAAAAGATGGATTAGTATGAACATAAATGGAATAAAACCCTTCATGACCTTCAAAGAACTTGTCCCACAAAGTAGCCAATGGGAGTGCGCCGCCTGTCATGAACATGAAAGCAACTTTCACAACCATCTTCCCATCATTATTATGTCTCCTCCCTAACCATGATGATGATGATGATGATGGTGGTGGTGGTGATAATAAAGAGACCTTGGTGAAGAGTTCTTGATCACTCATGTTGTGTTGAAGAACTTGTGTTTCTAACTCTTGTTTGATTGAGTGGTGGAATAGCAATGTGGACCGTAAGGGTTGTTGTGTCTTCGGCGTTGACATGTGGGAGGCTTTTAGATGCAGATAAAGGAAGACACCAATTGAGAAACCGATGACAAAGAAGAGGGAGCGTAAGACATGATTACCAAACTGTAAGAGAATCAACCTCAAGGGGTTTGAGATCATCAAGTCTTCGTCACCCTTCTTGCTCCTTTGATCAATAATACCCATGGTGGGAGAGAGATAGAGGAGAGAATGGTGGGTTGTTATCGTTAAGGACTTTTCAACAGTTGTATTATAAATGCGTTATTACAAGTTGTAATAAGAATAACAAAGGTATTTGGAGTTGTATTAGACAAAGTCAATAAAATGACAGGGTAAGCTATGGAATAAAGACTTGACGAGATGACTTTTCTAATATAACAATTGTTTTTTTTTTCTGTATGAACGAGACATATAACGATCATGTGTGTTAATACGAAACTTCTTAGGTTTTTAGATCTTAACATTATTACGTTTTGGCCCGTAGGACGAAGTAAGAGGTACAAAAGATTGCAGTCCAAGTAAAGGTGATATGTTTTTTTAAAAGACAAGGGTGATTAATACATCAAGTATCTTAATCCACCATGATATATACACATCTACTGGTGATACCAAGGACTAATTAATTTGCTTAGTCAAAGGCACAAGTAATTAAATAAAAGACCAAGCTGGAGAATTCTACTTGTATAGGCACGATCAGTGATACAATAACTGATATTTTAGTTAATGTAATCAATCTTGAAACTATTAATAGTATAAAAATTGACAAGAACATAGTATGATTTAGTGATTTGTGTTAGTATTACAACTCTGTCACGATCCATTATTTTAAATTAATTGGTGTGTGTTTTGACCAAATGTTTTTTCACAATTCTATATTTGGGTGTAATTGATAAATCCAGAAACCGTTGAGTTTATTGTTTATTAATTCAAAACATAGGGGTAACTAACTAAAACATATACTAAAAGACTAAGGGGTATAAAAGACGGTCCGGCGTCGTTTTCATCATTCTCAAGAAAATTTCGAAGAACCAGCGATGGATTACGACGGAGAAACCCCGGCGGCGACGACGAGGAAAAGAGAGGAAATAGAGAGAGAATCAGAGGAGAATCGGAAAGAAGCATTGTTAGCGTCAACGCAGTCTCTTCAACCTAATTTCAATCGATCCAACGTCACCCAGAAACAGATATCCAAATTACAGGTCCGGTTTAAGTTTTTCAAATTACACATCGGTTTATTATTGGTTTAGTTTCGATGCGGTTTGGATAAACCGAACAACTTAACATTTGTAGCTACTATTTGGTTGTGTTTTGAGATAACAGGAGCTACACAAGAGACGTATGAAGATAAAAGCCAATTCAAAGATGCAAAAGAAACCTAAAGCTAAGCAGCAGAGTAGTAGAGCTTTCGAAGAAGATGGAGAAAGCTCTAAAGTGTTGAAAGAGACAACTACCTTAGAAGAGAAGCATCAACACAAGAAGACAGTTGTCACAGCAGCACCAATGAAGCCACAGAAGCTGTATTGGGGGTAAGCTCTCTCTCTTTTTGTTTTTGTAATGTTTTTTAAAACAGAGCTTAAACAAGAAACTACACTCATGCAATGTCTTTTGTTTTGGAACAGGCTAGATACTAAGGAAAGGTGGGAAAGAAAAGCCAACATGTAGTATTGTGTAGTGTTTGAATTCATTTCTCGTTATTAGTTGATTACTTTGTCTAATGTACAACTTATTACAAAAGCAAGAAGAGAGACTAACAAGATCAATGGTGACGCAATGTTATTCACGTTTTGGTGATTTCTTCTTGTTCAATTTTAAGCAATAGGGGTAAGAGCAATGACACAGTTTTGATAAGACTTTTTCAATGTATTGTTGTCGGAATTTGAGCAAACTGACATAGGTTTCAAAATTGAAAAGCATAGAAAGTAGTCTTTGTAATATGAAGATTGTGAATAAGGAACTGAACATTCATCCTAAACACCACAAAACAGAATCAAAACCTCTCTCAATTCTCTATCCTGATGTGATTCTTCAGCAACATCCTTCAAGCTTCAACAGGGTACTCAAAAGTGACATCCTTTCCAGTGAGTTTACGGTACACACCCATCATTGACTCGAGCTTGTACTCTGTGTTGTTCCTCTCCTTGGCCTCCAAATACACCTGTAAACATAGTCATATCAGCTTAGCACAAAAAGTATATTCCAATAATAATCTCATATATAAATGATAGGATACCTTGGTGATCTTGGAACCATCAAGACGGTAACGAGTACGTTTTCCAACAATCTCAGCAGGGTAAGCGACATCCTCAAGCATTGCTTCATGAACAGAGGTTAGAGTCCTGTTGCGTGGCCTCTGAACAGCAGCACCCTTCTTTGGTGGACGCATGATCCTTCTTGTGGCAACAAAGATAACATCCTTTCCACTAAACTTCTTCTCAAGCTCCCTAACGAGACGGGGATGAATCTTGCGGAAAGATTTCCTCAATCTGAATGGGACGTAAATCACAACAGCCTTGCGGTTTCCAGAGATGTCCATGTTACTACACAAATAAAAACAAAATCAAAATTATTTTTTCTTGCAATGCAAAGAGGAAGAGACAAAAATGCAGAAACATACACAGCTTGGTTGATGTAAAGATCTTTCAACTCGCTCTTTAACTCCTGGTTGGTGTTTTCCAAATCAAACAGAGCCTGAGAGAGAGAGAAAGCAAAAAAATTGTTATTAGTAGATGAATTGGCAAGTCAACAATTTTAGAGACAAGTACATAAAAAATGAGATGTTATTATTACCTGAGCAACCTGCTCCTCGCATTCTGTTGGAGCAGCATTCTTGTCCTTTTTGATCTTGTTCTGAGCCGAGAACATCTTCACACTATCTTGAATTGTAACCCAAGAAAGCCCAAGAAAAAGGCAAATGCTTTAGGCATACGAACTAACAATCACCATAGTCATAAATTCTAAGCTTCATGATACTAATCAACATTTCAAGATAAATCTATTTTCCTACAATACTGAACTTAGGTTACCTTACCAACTGATATGTAAAACCTATAAACGAAACTGTTGTTTTCCAGAAATGACATTGCTTTATAGTCTATTAAACTAAACCATAATACCATCAACAAAAATAAACACCTAAAGCCACCATCTTTAGACCAATTACATAAGCTATAACATTACACCATTCTACTGCTAAGGTTATAATACCCTCAAGAAAAATGAAAAAAAAAAGGAACACCTTTTGCGACGTACCGGAAAGCTAAAACCTTTTTGAGGCGGAATCTGCAGGAACGAGGAAGAGGAAGAAGACACTTGCGGCTTCTCCTTTTAGGTTTTAATGTTTAGGGGATGATTAGGGTTTCTCCAAGGCTTCATCATGTATGGGCCGTTAAAAGACTCTTAAAAGCCTATGGGCCTGAGTCTGGGCTTATTTATTCACAAACTTGTCTCTTTTCTATTAGATACAGATATGATTGCAGAGTTGCACTATTGATTCTTTGCTGCCTTTAGAACTAGAAGTAACCATCTTGTGAAAATGTATTGCATATGTATGATATGACCATCTTTATTGCTAATCCAGTAAAGAAATACATTTTCACAAGGTAAATGTAAACAGTATAACTAAAGAAATAATCAGAATCTACATAGGAGTAACTAGTGATCCCTCATCAGCTTGCGAGCTATGGTCATCAAGCCACGAGATAATATCAGACAAGACACGGAGGATCATTTCATCTGGTTCGCCTTCAAGCAGAGAATGATAAGCATCTTTATACAAAACTATCTTCTTGTCTGAACTTTTCGCTTTCTGGTAAAGCTCTCTGCTCACTGATGGATCCGTCACTCTATCAGCCTCTCCGTGTAGAATCAATATAGGTAAACACACCTTACAAAGATTCAAAAATCAAGAAACATTTTATTATTACTATTCTGATTCTGCTTTCATTTTTCAGGTTTTATCATACTTCTTCTAACCTTTTCCAGCTGTTGCTCAATCTCCTGAGTTGTTCTAAGCATTTCTACAGCGGTTCGTAGACGTGGTTTGTCGTGGTAACAGATGACATTGTATGCTGCCTACAAATGTTAAAAAACAAGAACACTGGTTTAGTCAAAGAAGTCCACTTAAGCATTTGTGAATTATTATGTTATTTACCATGTTTCTCTTGCTGACATCTCTAAAAGCTACTTCTGCTAAATCCTTTTGTGGAACCAACTTGTGTTTCGGTAGAACATTAGCTAAACCGATCAAAATCTGTTTTAATACTGGTGGTGGAACCATATCATCTGCAATCTAGAAATGAACAGATATATTTCATATTAGTAAGTAACTTAAGGATATTTATTAATGAAAATGAAGAAAAAACAAGTGTTTTACTTTGCACATGGGTGCTACCAAGACTGCACCAGTCCAGGCCTTTGGTTGTTTGAAATGTATTTTAAGAGACACGGCTCCACCCATTGACTGTCCAAAGAGAAAGCTTGGTAGACAACTAAACTCAGGATCCTCTACAACCAAAACCTTAAGAGTTTACCCTTTCTAACAATATGATATGGTTGAAAGTATGTATATGTACCTTTTATGTGGGAGTAATGCTCAATGACATCTTCAACAAGAAGATCAAAGCTAGGGATATAACCGTGCAAGCCCTCAGATAAGCCAAACCCTGGATAATCCATTGCAAAAACTCCATATCCTGACAATGCCAACCTCCTTGCAATCCCTGCAAGGAGAGAGCTAGTAAGCGCAATCAAACATTGAGCTATTTAGTTATTGGCTAAGAAGAAGAAACAAACATGCCTTCGAAGAAGAAGGTGCAAGTGTCTCCATAACCATGGCAGAAACAAACCAGAGCTTTGGGACTAGAAGCTTCAGGAAGCCAGCTTTTTGAGAAGATCTCAACTCCTCTTGAATTCACCTCATAAGACTGTACATTAATCACACATCATTACAAACCCCAAGAAACAAAAAATAGTTGCTTCAAGTTATATAAACCAAACCTACCTCTTTTGTCTTAATTCCATTTCCTGGTGTCTGCAACATTCAAAAAATCAACACTTTTAATTAAAAAAAAAAAATAACACAAGGCAATTCAGACAAAAGCTGAAGCTGTTTGGTCCAAACGATCGATTTTAAGCGGAACAATATTAATTTTCGGATTTTTTTTAGTTTTACCTTGAAGAGGATATGATCGAGACTAAGCTGAATATCTTTCAAGGAATCTCGAACATGACGGCGCGCCGGAGCTTCGTCGAGATTAACATCCTTGAATCTCCGGAGCTCCTCGTTGTCTACCTTCGCCATCAATCTCTTCCTTTGCCACTCTGTTTTTCCCTTATCTACAAACCCTGAAGGTAACAAACAAATTAAAAGTTGTTATTAAATTACCCAAGTGAAAAAACGTTTTAAACCTTATGTAAAATCTCACGTTTGTTATTCAATATACAAAAAAAAAGAAAAAAGAAGTTGGATTATTACGAATAATATTAAGTGGTGGCAAATGGTACCGTGTAAAGGATTGCAAAGGTGGAGATTTGCTTATCTCAAGGGCCATTTCCATCAATTTCTAGAAAATTTTTTTCACAAGTAATGTATTTAAAACTGTTTGCAAAAAGAAAGCAATGTATTTAAAACAGAAATAAAATCAAACTGTATATATTTCCAGCTTTGATTTTTGTTTTTGGAAGTAAAGATGATACGAAAGTGAGGAAGAAGATGTTTTAGTAATCATCAAAATTGAGCAATTATTATATCAGTGAGTTATGCGGTTCATGTCTTTGTCTTCAGTGTGAACTAATACTGTCCGGAGTAGTATTAATTTGTGTAGTAGTATAGAAGAGACTGGATCCACGAACGGTCCTATGGGGATATGCTGACGGGTCTGTGTTGTTTGATAGACCGAGAATCCATTAATGCGATGCACGTGTACACTATAATGAGTCAAATGTCACACGTGCATTTAGGTGTGGAGTTGACATGATTTATTTTGGATGTATAAAGTTAATGGATTCTTTCTTATTGTTATTTAAGAGGAAAATCTGAAGAATGTATAAAGTTTTGCTGGGCAATAACTCTTGGTTTTTTGTAATATATAGAGCTAATATAAGCATTGTGTATCGTAATGTCTCTTTGAACTTGTTGGTGGTTTAAAGTTCTCTTACAACACCTTTGAATATGGATTTTAGTGATTCAACAAATCTGTATATTAATGCCTAATCGTATTGTTATTGTTACTGTTATCTTATACGTGGCGTATATTGCACGTGTGATATACAATTTGAATACAAAACTTTCTTGAAAATAATAAATTCCTACCAGCAATACAGATGCATCATGCATACAATATTACAATTTCTAATTTGGCTTTATTTAATTTCTGATCACAATTTCATATGAAATATTGATTAAAAATAGGAATAAAAGAATATTTTATTTGCTTATCAAGAAAAAAACAGTTATTTCTCGCGCCAAGACAATAGACCGAACAAACACATCTGTTGGATTACAAAAATAACTAACTACAACGAACATTAACCGCCACAATATCTCTCTTGTCTACAAAACCTTTCTCATTGTTTCTTCAACACTCTTCCCTCACTCTTTGTTCTTCAACTCTCAAGCATCGTACTCCGCTTGAGAGAGTCTTTTCTCTTTTTTCCTCTTTGGTCTCTCATCCAAAAGAAGAAAAAGAGAAAGCAATTAAACAAGAGTTCAAAACACACACAAAAATGGCGGGTGGTGGTCCAAAACCAATTGCTCTTCAAGACAATGAGGATGAAGATATGTACTATGATGCTTACTCTGAAGAAGATCTAATAAACTTAATGTCTGACGTCCCAAACCCTAATTTAATGGACTTACCCTTCACCCAAGATCCTCTCCCTCCTCCTCCTGCGCAACCCATAGTGGTTAACCAAACTGGGACTTTGTTGCAAGATCCTTCGGTTTTAATCCCTCAAGGGGATACAGATACCATCAGAGAGTTTGTTGAATCACTCAACAACGATATTGATAATTCACTTTTTACTTGGGACACGTCAGATATACTAAGTGATGACATCAACGACTTCATCGATTATACTGTCCTAGGAGATATTGATTATGATAATTGCAACAATGTCGGAGAAAATAGTATCTTTGTGGAAAATGCTTTGAACTTTGAAACCGGTGGTACATCATCGACGATGCATGTCCCAGTGGTTACACCAACACCGACTATCTCTCAAGGAGTGTTCTTATGCACTTATTGCAACCTTCTTCGACAACTAGTCCATGCAAATGGTATATTTATATATATATATTTATCTATCACTAACATGTTTGTTTATTCTGTTACACTGATCGCTAATTATATGAGTGGTTTGTGTTTATACAGGTCAGGAGATGATGAGACTTGATCTCTATGGAGGTATTGGATATTTTTGCCATGCAATTATCGAGACTCGAAGATTTGATGGTTCAAACGAACTTCACTATCAAACATATCATTTGATGGATTTAAAGATGGAGGATGTCAAGACATTTATTGAAGAATATTGTGCTGCGAGGGAAGCATGTGGTTATGTAATCACGCAAGACACTAATGCTGATTTCTATCAAGCCATGAATGCTTGTACCACAAGTAGCCAGACGCTTATCTCGACATTGCCACCACGGAGTGATATTCCAATGTCATTGGCTATGGCATCTGAGGAAGCTCTAAATGTGCCTTGTGCTCCCCCCGCTTCGAAAAGAAGGCCAAGGAGACAAACCTTTCTCGCTGCACAGGTTCTTGTCTTTAATCTCTCAAACTAGCATTATAGGATATGTTTTTAGGATATATTCGGAATATAAATGTGTTACTTGTTCCACAAGGATCTGTTTACTATATGGTTAGATTTTAGGTTAAAAGCTTGTTATTTTTGCTTATAGTACCATCAGTAGTCTGCATGGGTTTGCATTTGGATAAAGAACATGTTTCTTGTGCTTCAAGAAATTAATTTGACTGAAGTGAGTCACTGATGTTCGGTTTTGTGATTTATTACTATGTGCCGAGGACAAGAACAGAGGATACGGACTAGGAACTTAACAGTGAAAGACATGAGCCAACTTTTCGATCTCCCCATCGAAGAAGCGGCGCGAAGGTTGAGGATTTGCACAACAGCCGTCAAAAAAATTTGTCGAAGGGGAGAAGTGTATCGATGGCCTCGACGGAAAGTAATATTCTTGAACTAGACCCGCTAATGAAAATTTGATTCTAATTAAGTTTCTATTTATCTTTTTTTTTACTTATTTTTTGGTAAACTGATTTGTAGCTTAAAAGTTTGCGGGAGAAAGTCGCGGCACTGAAGTGTGTGGTTAACAAAACAACGGATGCAAGAGTAAAGGCGCGTGCGGAAGAGAAGATTGACAAATTTGAAAAACATATTAAAGAGATTTACAGCAAAGCACTTGAAAATGCTTAAGTAATTTTCAGATGATTATTGAACACTTGCGTTGATTGCTACTCCCTTTTGTCATCTTTGAGAATTTTGGCACCATTACTAGTTGGGTTTGTTTTATTGGGATGTTGGAACTACAGTTGCTTGTCTCGACATGAGATATACTTTTGGTTGTCTTTCACTCTTCTTTTGAAAACTATTCGTTACTAAACGGTTTATGTCTTTTATCTCTTCATGATCTACACTTTTGGTTGCCATTCACTCTTTCCTCTTTTGGAAACTATGATATTAAACGAAAAACAATATGATATTTATAAGTTTCAATCATGCCGGATATATTATTATTGTCAATGTCATCCAAATTACTTCGAATGTGACGATGTTATAAATGGATGTAACTATCGAGGTAAGAAATAATTTCTAGAAAATTACTAGTCAATAAAATCAATCAAAAGCCTACTACTGCTTGAAGTCCTTTGCTTTCTTTGTTCTGAACTTGCCAAACCTGTATTTTTGGTAATGAAAAACATCTTTGAATCTTTTCTCTGTCGTTTTTGGTGGATTTTTGTAAACTGAGAAAAAAATGAGAAATACAAACAAATTATTGTAGTGTGGACTCATATTCTACAAAACATTTATCAAAAAGAGTTAAGCATCGGCCTGATCTCAGAAATAAGTCAATCGACGGTCAACAGGAAACACGTGTCGTCTTAACTTACGACACTTGTTTTATACTCTTTCAATTCCTATATAAATTTACTCACATGTCCAATGAATTGACCCTGCATGCGATCTGGAGACTGCATGTGGTTTATTTTAAGTAAATAAATAAAATGCCATGCAGTGCTATTATTAAATAAGGAAACGCTAGAAAGTTTGACCATAATACAGGTTGACACTTTGCTGGAAATTAACAAACCGCCTCTGTTATTATTTATAGAAAACCAAAAAAAAGAGATTCTCTCGTCTAAAAATCTCCAGAATTTCGATTTTCTTTCTAAATCCTTTTTGATCATTTCCTCAACTTCAATGTCTTACGCTTATCTCTTCAAGTACATCATAATCGGCGATACTGGTAATTCTTTTCAATCCACTAATCAGATCGTTATCATCTCTCTATGTATATAATAAGAAACGATTTGTTCTTAATCTTAGTTCATTAGGAAATTGATTGATTGATTGATGTGATGATTACAGGAGTAGGGAAATCATGCCTTCTGCTACAGTTCACGGACAAGAGGTTTCAGCCTGTGCATGATCTGACCATCGGTGTTGAGTTTGGGGCAAGGATGATCACCATCGACAACAAGCCCCTCAAACTCCAGATCTGGGATACGGTCTTTAATAATCCTTTTTTTTTTATATATTTTATTTTGAAAGAAACTCGTTATCCTTTTTAGTTATTAGGTCTAATTATTGAAATGATTATTGCTTGCAGGCTGGTCAAGAATCCTTTAGGTCTATTACAAGGTCCTACTATAGAGGTGCTGCTGGTGCTTTACTTGTCTACGATATCACTAGGTAGTCTTTTACAATCCAAGTATCACCAATTGGTTTTAAATTGGAAACACATAATAAACCCGAATCTAACAAGATAATAATGACTTTAAACTCTATTTTGATGAATTTTAAAGATAATTGTATTTTCTGATAATTATTTGTTTTTTTTCTGTTTGTTTGTTTGCAAGGAGGGAGACATTTAACCATCTAGCAAGCTGGTTAGAGGATGCGAGGCAGCATGCAAATGCTAATATGACTATTATGCTCATTGGTAACAAATGTGATCTTGCTCACAGAAGGGCTGTCTCCACTGAGGAAGGTGAGCAGTTTGCTAAGGAGCATGGTCTTATTTTCATGGAGGCCTCTGCCAAGACTGCTCAGAATGTCGAAGAGGTAAAACCAATGTGATTGTTAAGGCAGCATAACTTGTTCCATTCTTTAAAGTACACCTCTCATTGGTAGAAATGCTAAAATCATGAATATTTTTTTGCTAGGCGTTCATTAAGACAGCGGCAACAATATACAAAAAGATTCAAGATGGTGTGTTTGATGTGTCGAATGAGTCCTATGGAATCAAAGTTGGATATGGAGGAATCCCGGGGCCATCTGGTGGTAGAGATGGATCCACCTCGCAAGGAGGAGGTTGCTGCGGCTAAAGATGGGAACACTTTCTCTATATCATCATCATGTAAAAAATTATCTACGTTTTTCAATTAGTTTGTAAATCGTTCTGGTGCTCGATTTGGTGACTGTGTTTGTGGTTGATTTCGAAACTTGTTATTCATTTTATCTAAAAAAGATGTGATTTTACGTATCTAAGAATCCTGTTTTCATGCTCATCAATCCTGTGATCATTGTCTTCTACAAACAAGTCTTCCTGTATTTAGCAAATGGAATCCAAGCAAATGGTAGCGTTCATGCGAGGACATAAACAGTGTCCATAATGGGGATGGCTTTCATGGGCAGAGAGAAAACCCACATCCAGTTTGATCTATATCGTGTCAATACTTGGCAACAAAGCGTAGTACCGTATTGAATTAGTATTATTGTTTGTCTACATGTAGACTAGAAATATCTTTGATATTTTTTAGAGTTGGGTAACAATGTCTTGTCCTTTCTGAAAACGATTCAACATAAGAAAATGTCTTGTAATAATTTTTTTCTTCGAAAAGATATTTGTATTTGGTTTTGGCAAAAGACAAACTCGTTAACTTTCTCATTCCGTGTTCAGTTATCAGTTATCACATTACACAAAGCACAGAGAAATATCTTTGCGACAATGACAAAGTAAAAGCTTAGCTATTAAGGTTTCACAAGTTTAACAAGACTCACTAAGTTGCTGATGCGTGTGTGAACAGGTCCATACGCTTTGTACTTTTTCCACCATCGGTCCATAATAAAGCTCAAAAACTTTCCATGGACATAAAAGAAAAGGTCTCAAACTTCGTTTACTTAAAGAAAGAAAAAATATTTCAAAGAAAATGACAACTAACTCAAAAGAAAATGACATCTCTATTCTCTCTCTCTCTCTCTCTCTCTCTACTCATTTTCTCAACAGAACAGAGAATAATGGAGTTAACACTAAATTCCTCGAGTTCTCTAATCAAACGTAAAGATACCAAAAGCTCAAGAAACCATGAAAGCTCCTCCAACATGTCATTTGCCAAAATGAAGCCACCAACATATCAATTCCAAGCAAAGAACTCGGTTAAGGAAATGAAGTTCGAGAAGATGACCTTCACGCCAGAAGGTGAAAGATGGGAGAAGCTCCACGTTCTCTCCTATCCACATTCCAAGAACGACTTAACCAGTGTTCCTGTTTTCTTCATGTTACCACTTGACACGGTGACAATGTCAGGGCACTTGAACAAACCAAGAGCCATGAACGCTAGTTTAATGGCTCTAAAAGGAGCTGGTGTGGAAGGTGTAATGGTTGATGCTTGGTGGGGGTTAGTGGAGAAAGATGGACCTATGAATTATAACTGGGAAGGCTATTCTGAGCTTATAGAGATGGTTCAAAAGCATGGTCTCAAGCTCCAGGTTGTTATGTCTTTCCATCAATGTGGTGGAAACGTTGGAGACTCTTGCAGGTAAATGAAAGAGCAACTTTAGTTTTCAATCTATGTCTCTCATTTTTTTTAGCTTAGCTAATGGTTTGTCTCTTTTACAATATTATCTTGTTGAGGTTTGTCAAGTTGATTCAAATCTGAAGTACAAAAATTTAAGTGTTTGGAAACATGAATAGGAAATATTTATGGGTTTTCTATCATTGATATTACTTTACTTTTGAAAATTATTTATATCTATATGTATTCATCTTTTAAATGTATTTAAAATAAATCAAGAATAATATATATTTTATTTATATAATTTATATTGACTATTGTTATAAGTTTTTAACAGTGATATACTAGCCTTCCAATTCTTCATTAAAAAATTAACTTAACAATTTGACTAAATTATTTAGTGTATATATCTTTGCACCAAATTTAGCCAAAAAAAAACTTTATAAACTATTACTAAAATGTTTACGGGTCACAATATTTTACGACGCCCATGTTACACAATACAGTGATAAAATACAATATTTAAACAGTAGACTATTACTTAGTAAAATTGGAACGAGATGTTATTTTCACAAGTTGTAACAAGAAGACAATGTTTTGTTGCTTCTCTTACATGAGTTCCGCTTTGTTACAACGATCTATTGTTAACACCACACATTGCTTACTCTTCAACAACCAACCTCTATGTGCAGTTTATAAAACCATCCTGCTTATAAAACATGTTTAAAAGAAGTGGGAGGAAAACCTGTATATCTTGCTCCGTAGCCAGATCTGTTATTTATTTACTTATGAGAGATCTGACATTTGGTTCCAAGTGGGTTCACCTTCACGAAAATCTCAACGTAGATGCAAATTTTGAGTGTCTTTCTATAGACGTCTCTCTCTCTCTATCTTTCTATCTCGTGTTGTCATCCAAGAGGTTCGAGGTGAGGTTTTATGGTTGCGACTATGTCAAAAGTTTTGCCACAGGAACCACTCACACAGGATAATCGCCGCCATTACTACTGTGATATGTTTGGGTTTGAACAGCCTTTGTAGCAGCAACTCGAGCAGCATTTGCTGCTCGGTTTGCGACCATCACTGCTCTGTTCACTCTCTCTTCCACTTTCACAACTTCACGTGCCTTCTCCGCTGCTTTCCTTGCTTGCTGTTTATAAAGAGAGATAAGGGTTAGAACTCATATGCGTAATCCGATACATGTGAAAATACAAATTGGTCTTAAAGATTAAGATTATAGGTTGGCTACCTGGACAGTGTCTAGAACCTTCGAGTGACTGATTGAAAACGATGAACCAGGACGGGTAGTCTGCTCGGTAGGACAGCTGAGAACACCGTTTTCCCAATGCCCTGCCTGTGTCTCACCGTTCCTGAATGTGTACATACCAAGCCCTTGCCTTCTCCCCTCATGCCAGGCTCCTTCGTAACGATGTCCGTTTCCAAATAGATACACTCCAAAACCATGCATCCTATCCGCAAAGTACTCTCCAGCATATGTATCACCGTTTCTGCAATACAGACATCATGGCTTTCAAGTCAGACAAGTATCTCTAAAGAAGGGTAACGATTGTTTTACAATCAACACTCAACAAAAAAGGTTACACCTTGTTTCCCCTTAGACATATAACGTTATAACTGTTGCAAGGTAGGAATAACCCCCACAAGAGAGGAAGACAGCCACATAAAAAAACGTTCGGCTCAAACGTAACTAAAACCGAAAGCCAGAATCTTTCAAACATAGTTAACCTTAAATTTTTTATATTCTCCTCAAAAGGTGCGGAACGCAGACTAACAATCTTCAAGAACTCATCAGTGAAAGCAATAAAAACTTTTAGAACGTACCCACGAGGAACAAAGACATGGGCCAACATACAGTATCTTATGTCCAAGCAAAAACTAGAGCCTTAAAACACTGAAAGCCAAAACCTTTCAGAAACCGTATTGACTTCAATTTCCAAACCATTAAACATCAATAACACATGGCTAAAAAAGTTCACCCTTATACCAAAAAAACTTTAAACCATTTCTACAACTTTAAATGACTAAGCAGTGTTCAACCCAATACCACAAGACAATGCACACATAAAAACTGATGAAATCGAAATCTCACCTGAAATGGTAATGACCAAGACCATGTTTAACACCCCACTTAAACTCCCCAACAAACCTACTCCCATCCTCAGAAGTATACACACCACACCCATGGCTCTGCCCATTAGACCACTCACCAGCATACACATCCCCAGTATAAAACCTATATATCCCAGTCCCATGCCTCATCCCTTGCCTATACTGACCTCTATACCTACTCCCTTTCGCCCACGTCTCCACTCCATACCCATCATACTTCCCATCAACCCAATCACCTTCATACTTCCCCTTCATCGAATAATAATAAACCCCACTCCCTGAACACTTCCCTTTAAGAAACTCCCCTTCATACACATCACCAGAGCTGTACTTCTGAACCCAAGACCCGGAGTTCGTCTTCTTCTCAGGCTTTGACCCGATAGACCAAACAACCTGCGACGAGGAGGATGATGACGACGAAGAGGAAGAAGAGACTCTTGTGGAGCTGAGGGAGAGGAGTCTAGCGATGAAGAGACGAATCGAAGGTAAGTGAGGGAGTGCGAACTTGAGAGAGATCGAGAGGATGAACGAGAAGGCGATGATTGAGAAGAGGAAGAGGAGGAGGACTCGGAAACTGATCAAGAGGAAGAAGATGTAGAGAGGAGGCACAGAGAGGAGGAGTAAGAATCGGAGATGGAAACATATCAATCGAACTCGTATCACTTGACGGAGAAGCTTCTGATTCGACGAAGTTAGAAACGTGAAAAGATACGACGCGGACGCTCCGCGACGGCCGCGGCGGCGGGAGAGATCGTCGTCGTCGTTCGACGAATCTGGGATTACGATATGGTGGTGGTGGCTGCTTCTCTGGCCTTGCGATTGAGTTTCGGGGACCTGCTTGATTTTGATTTTGGGGGTGGGATTGAGATCGGAGGAAGGTGGATAAGCCGCGGCGGATTCTTTGCCGATGAATCGCCGTTCTGCTACTGTTGAATTCTTCAGATGCATTTACATACAGAGATTGAGATTTTAGGAATTAGGGTTTCTGTGAGATCAAATGGGACGCGTAATGATGATGAAGGAAGAGAGGGGTAGGGATCTCTCTCTCTGTTTTGAAGCTAAGGTAAAGAGGGATTGGTTTTAAATAAAGGACCATTGTTTTGGGGTTTATTTACAGTTTTGCCATTAATCATCTTTTGTTTTCTTAATGTGATTAGTTTAGTCCTTCACGTCATTAATGATAGGAGTATTATTCTCGTAAGATACCAACTCTCTTATTTGGTGTATTTATTAAATGCTTGGATTCAATGTTCAGACATTTATGCCGTGCATAAAAGTTTAGGATTCAGGTTGGTGAATTAATTTTCTCTTATTTTAGGTCATTAATATGTCAATAACTTGAAAAAGTGGCAATGAAATTTATCTGGGATGGTTTTGTTGAATTGTGACATATACAAGGAATTTTGACTTCTATAGTCTGCTTCTACGTGTCTACCATGACAAACATAACCATTTTTCATTTTCGTAATTATACTACTTATATTATGTTAATCAAACATAACACATAAAACCTATTATAAACATGATGTTAGAGAAACTTTTAATAAAATCTGTAGAATATTAGATGACTATGACAATTTCGCATAGTTTGACTAGTAACTTTTTTTAATAGAACTGTGTTTCTCAACCTTTCTAATATTTTGACCTTAACTAATGAAATATAATAGTAATATTGTCATCTTGCCGCCCAAGCATATGTAGCAAAGGTGATATTTGAATTTGTAAAATATGAACTGACTTGTGCACAACAAAAGAAAGGTAAACTGACTTTTTTATAAGAAAAATTCTGTAATATATTTTATATATTGAAAAACTTTACTCATAGACTGTTACTTAGCCTAGAAAAAGTCCAACATCGATTAAGATTGGATTTAAACTCCCTATATTTATAATCATACATTATATTTGTAAATGATAGACATTCATTAATATTAAACTCTAAAGTATGAATTCAACACATGAAGAATCTGAATTGGTAATACAAAAATCTCATTTAACAAATAGAGTTTTGAGTGTTAGGAATGTCCTAAAATCATTCGTACTTATTCTTGTTAAAGTCGTAACGTCAAGGTTTGACAATCATATAAAATTAGGTGGTTATAATGTTTTGCTAGAAACCGCTTATAATCTATGGATTAAGAATCTATTACTAATTTTATATGATCCTATAGGGTCACACACCTAAGCAAACTAGATCAATAATCAATTGAGTTCGGAAATAGTGATATAAGCTTTGTTATATCTACGTGGTATTATTAACATAATAATATGGCTGCATACGATGTAACCATACACGTAAAGTGATGACTTTAATTATTGGGCTTAGCCCATAAATTAGAGTAACTAACCCTAATGGTCGCATGGTTTGGTAATCTCATTATATAATGAGTACGTGAGACATAAGGGTTAATGCATCAGCCGCATAACTCAAAACAATAAGACAAAATAGTTTGTTCTGTGAGATTTGATCTCGACGGTACTAGCATCCCGTTTCGATCCAGTTTGTGTGCGTGTGGATACCGATAGAGGCACGACGTTTGGAGTGCTAATAACCTTGGTTTGTTTCATTCATCTTTCCGCTGCGAATAACATCCAGGTATATGCGAAACCCTAAGATCTAGATTTATTTCAGTATTGACATGAGATTCTAGGCTAATAAAATTCATAGGTTGTCTTATAAATCGTTATAAACCGGTATGAATCCCAACAGTGGTATCAGAGCCTACTTGTGTAATATTGATATGAATCTAGTATAATAGATATATATGATATATTTGTTAAAATTAATATAGCAATTTTGAAAAGAATTATAATTTGATTATAATCAGTCGCTATATAAATTTGACATTCGATTGAAAGTGTTTCATCGCCTCTATGTATATGATTTAAAAGTTAGAACGTACTTTGTAGTTGCATGCTTGTTTTGACTTTAAAGTAATTAAAAGCTGTGCATATGTGGGGATCGTCCTCGTTCATCTTGTTAGTCTCAAACTATTTCATAAATATTTAACAAATAGTCAAAAGTTCATAGCTAGTAAACGTGTATGCGATACGGTTTTGCTATGGCAGCTTGACAATATGTGTATATTTAATTTGTTAAATAATTACATATATGTTTGAGAATTGTCTAACTAAGTGAATTAAAATCATATGTCGATATATGTATATACGCATACATGGAATTTGGTTCATACACATTTAATTAATAAGGTAATCGTGTGTTGTGTATTATTGTAATACATAAAAGTGATTTAGTAATTAGTTTGTTTGTGCGATCAGTTAGACCGGTTAAACCAGTTTCGGTTTAAATCGGTTAATTTGATTAACTAGATTTAATGATATTAATCTTTTGTTTAGAACTAATATGATTAGATTCTGAAATTAATTACATATAATTAATAATTTTAATTAGATTAAAATTATTTGAATTACTTAATTGTTTATAATTCAATCTAAATACATATAAGATATGTATTAGTTATATTTATTTTATATTAGATATAAAATTCT